ACTTCCAGTGGCTTTTTCATACAAACCGCCTGCCTTGGCTCATGCTACAGACTTTCTTAGGTTGTCTCAAAGGTTTGCAGGACCCAGACAAGCAGCATCTGGCTTGAGCATCTCCTGAACCTCCGGCTGAGCAGCCCTAAGCCTGGCACTAGCAGCAGCTGGCCTTGGTTCGTGGCTTGACCTCTCAAGACACTTCTAAGCATGTCACGGGTGGTGGCCATCTGCAGATTTCTTTGTGGTTCATGATGTGTGGCACCAGGTGGGGCACAGGCTGCGGCTGAACTTGGCCTATAACAGGTTCCCTCCCAGGTGGCCCTGGGGCTGGCATGCCCAGTAGTCAGCTTCAAAACAAGCTGAAACATCACCTGGCTGCCTCCAAGAATAACACACCAAAGGGGTGGGATGGGCAGGCACCAGAGCCCGGCTGAGGCAGACCCTGCTCTGTAGGGTCAGCCCCTGAATCACAACTCCTCCACTGTAGTCATGGCCAGTCCTCACAACCAATGAGCCTGAGGGTCAATTCCTCCTGTTAATGTACAAATAGCAACCATGGCTCAACTACAACAGGAGGGCACACACGACCCACAGAAGAGACACACCAGGAGTGTGCAGCTCAGATGACCAGGAAGACTGAGCCATTGAGCCCCACAGCACACCAACTACATAAGGCTACTCTACTAAGACCGGGAGACATAGCAGCCCTACCTAATACATAGAAACAAACACAGGGAGGCAGCCAAAATGGGGAGACAAAGAAACATGTCCCAAATAAAAGAACAGAACAAAGCTCCAGAGAAAGAACAAAATGGAGATAAGTAATCTACCAGATGCAGAGTTTCAAACACTGGTTATAAGAATGCTCAATGATCTCAGGGAGAACTTCAAAAAAGAGATAGGAAACATAAAAAAGAACCAGACAGAAATAAAGAATATAATAACAGAAATGAAGAATACATTATAGGGAATCAACAGATTAGATGAAGCAGAGGATTGAATCAGCGATTTAGAAGGTAGCAGAAAACACCCAATCAAAACAGCAAAAAGAAAAAAGAATTCAAAAAAATGAGGAGAGTTTAAGGGGCCTCTGCGACAACATCAAGAGTACCAACATTCACATTATAGGGATACCAGGAGAAGAGTGAAAGCAAGGAATTAAAAACCTATTTGAAGAAAAAATGATGAAAAACTTCCCTAACCTGGCAAAGGAAATAGATATACAAGCCCAGAAAGCGCAGAGTCCCAAACAAGAAGAACCCAAACAGGCCCACACCAAGTCACATCATAATTAAAATATGAAAGGTTAAAGACAAAGAGAGAATCTTAAAAGCAGCATGAGAAAAGTAGTTAGTTACCTACAAGGGAGCTCCCATACGACTATCAGCTGATTTCTCAACAGCAACTTTGCAGGACAGAAAGGACTGGCAGCAAATATTCAGTGATGAAAAGCAAGGACCTACAACCAAGATTACTCTACCCAGCAAAGCTATCATTTAGAATCAAAGGACAGATAAAGAGCTTCCCAGACAAGAAAAACCTAAAGGATTTCATCACCACCAAACCAGTATTACAAGGAATCTTAGAGGGACTTCAAGATGAAAAGAATAAAAAATATGAATAATAAAATGGCAATAACTAAATACCTATCAATAATTACTTTAAATGTAAATGGATTAAATGCTCCAATCAAAAGATAAGAGGGGCTGAATAGATAAGAAAACAAGACCCTTAAGTAATTGATATGTTGTGAATATTTTGTAGGGTGTCAGGTGGTCACATGTCTTGCATCATGTATGGGGAAGAGGCTTGATCACTGCACTGTACACCTGAAGCTGATGTTGTATAATATTGTATGTCAACTATAATTGAATATGTGTGTGTATATATATATATATATATATATATATATATATATATATAGTCATGGGACGTGGAGTATAGTGTGGGAGTGGAGTCAAGGGATTTGTAATAGATATGTATGATATTGGGGGGAAATGGGGCGGCGAATTGGGGGAGGGGGGTTGTCACTTCTAGGGGAAAAAAGTATAACTATTGCACTGTGTTGTACAGCTGAAACTAATTCTAAAAAATGTGTATTTCATAATAAAAAATAATTTAATAAAAAAAAAAACAAGACCCTTACATAGGCTGCCTACAAGAGACTTGCTTCAAACTGAAAGACACACACAGACTGAAACTAAAGGGAGGGAAAAAGATATTTCATGAAAATGGAAACAAACAAAAAAGCTGGGGTAGCAATACTTATACCAGACAAAATAGGCTTTAAAACAAAGACTATAACAAGAGACAAAGAAGGACCCAGTAATCCCACTTCTGAGTATTTATCTGAAGAAACACAAAATGCTACTTTGAGGGGATGTGCTCATCCATATGTTCATTGCAGCATTATTTATAATAGCCAAGATATGAAGACAATCTGGGTACCCCTAAATGGATGAATGGATAAAGAAGAGGTGGTACATACATACAATGGAATATTACTCAGCCATAAAAAAGGATGAAGTCTTGCCATCTGTGACAACATGGATGCACCTAGAAGGTATTGTGCTGAGTATAGTATGTCAGACATTGAAATAAAAATGTCATATGGTTTCACTTATAAGTGGAATCTAAAGGATAAAACAAACAAAACAAAAACAAACTCATACAGAGAACATTTTGATGGTTGCCAGATGGGAGGGGGATTGGGGGTGGATGAAAAAGGAAAAGGGATTAAGAAGTACAAATTGGTTTTTATACCATAGTCATGGGGATGCAAAGCATAGGGAATATAATCAATAATATAGTAACAGCTATGTATAGTGCCAGGTGGGTACTAGTCAGGGGGATCACTTCGTCAATTATATAAACATCTAACCGCTATGCTGTACAACTGAAATTAATATTGCCTGTCAACTGTAATTGAAAAATTAAAAAGCGAGGTTCCAAGTTCCAGGTATAAAACAAATAAGTCATGGGGATGTAATACACAGCATAGGAAATATAGTCAATAATATTGTGACAGTGTGGTAGGTCAGATGGTTGCTGGACTTATCATGGTGATCACTTCTTTAGCATAGGGAACATAATCAATAATACAGTAATAACTATGCATAGTGCCAGATGGGTACTGTTGAATAACTATGATGTACACCTGAAACTAATATAATATTGTATGTGAGCTATATTTTAATAAAAATATTTTTTAAAAAAAGAAAGCAGACTGGTAGCAGCCCGGGGCTGGGAGGAAAGGGGGAGCTGCTGTTTAATGGGTGTGGAGTTTCAGTTTTGCAAGATGAACAAAATTCTGGGGATGGTTGGTGATGATGGTTGTACAACAGAGTGAATGTACTTCATGCCATTGCACTGTACGTATAAAAATGGTCAATTTTATGTTAGGTATATTTTATACAATTAAAAATACATTTTAAAAATTAAAAACAAAAAAAATTACACGTGGCACTTTGTTTCCTGAGGTCCTGGAATCAAGTGGCAAACCGCGACCTGCTGCAGAATCTGCCCACAGACATGTATAGTTTGGATCGTACAGGCATTTGAACTTGAAAGCCTATGGCAGTGACATGGGCTTGCCAGGTGTCCCTAACTAAGGGCCACCACTCCCATTCACTTTACCTGCCTGGTTACTAAAGGCATTTGAGGCTGGAACCCCAGAAGAAGTGAGGAAAGATTTTGGGCAAGAATCTGTAGTCCATATTATTTTGCTGGTGGCCTCTCTGCCCAGGGCCTCGGAGCTCTGCATGTCTGCCCTGCATGGACAGAGCTGGTGGAAGTAGGTAACAGGACATGGCGGACACGTTCACTAAAAACTCCATGAGCCTCCTCCATGTCTCAATCCCATGCTGTCAGGCGGGGCCCAGTGACTAGCTCTGGCCAGTGAACCATGAGAAGTGATCTGTGTGTCATTTCTGGGCTGAAGCAACTAGTGATGTCCCCATGGTGGAGCTTCCATTGGCCTGGGTCCCCAAGTGACAATGTCAAAAACAGAGGCCTCATGTGACCCATGACAGAAAGCTAGTGTGAGCAAGTCAGCAAGAAATAAGCTTTTATGTCAAACCACTGAGATCTGGGGGTTAATTTGTTACTGCAGCATAACCTCGCTTATCTTGACTAATATATGTGCTGTGAACGACGAGAGGAGAAAGGTTTGCACAGCTTCACAAGCTCCAGGTGGGACCCACAAGAGACCATAGCCTCAGACCCACCCTTCTGAGCTGAGAAACCTCAAAAGAACCACATGCTTTCCCTGGACTGTGGCTCCCCGTTTTCATCTTAGAAAAATATGAATTTCATATTGTTCAGTGTACGGGGGAGAGACAGGTGCTGCTTGTTCATCCAGGAGGGGAGATCTAGGCTGTCCGCCAACCTTACCCCAACTCACTGCCTGGCCATCAGTTTCCCCACTTGATCGCTCTGGCTAGCCCATGGCTTCTAGGGCTGGGCTAGAGAGAGGAGTGGGGGAGCCACCTGGCCCAGGGGCTTCAAGAGAGCCATCGACGAATGGACTCTGGTGTCAGGACCAAGAAGAAGGGGAGAGCTCGCTCACTCCCCACTGTCACAATTTCAGCCTCATCTACAGGGGACAGGGGACAGCCTGAGACCCCAAGCCCCTCGCTGAGATGGCTTTTTTTTTTTTTAGCTGAGCCATCCTGCTACCTGTTGGCAGCTCAGCGGATGCTCAGCTCGGGCTGGACTCGAACCGCTGTTGCTCAGAGCTCAAACTCTTGAGCGAGCTCTTAACCAACTGAGCCACTCGGCCGGCCCTGAGATGGCTTTTTAACACTGACTTTGGCCTCAGCCTGTCTTGGGGACCCACCTGGAAGGCCATCTACCCAGAGTGGGGAGCCACACTCAGGGAGTTGGATCCACCCTGCCCAGCGCAGAACGTCAAAAGTGTCTTTCCCCAGGTGAGGGGAGGGCAGCCAAGGCCAGGGCACCTCCTGTGCACTGAGGGTAGCGGAGGACAGACCCAGCACATGTGGGAATCTGGGGCTGCACACAGTGCTGAGCTTTATTTACAGTCACAGAATGTCCTTACCCCTCACCCTACAGTTTCCTCTGTCTGTCCCCAGGACAGAGACAGGCCTGGGCCTACCCACCTGCCCAACCTAGGAGGGTAGGGCCCAGGCAGGGTTCCCCTCTTGCGAGCTCCCCTGCCAGAGGGGAAAGGCGGGAGGCGATGGCAAGGGCACTGTCCTCCAAGTGGCCAGTCTCAGGGCTTCAGCCGGGAGGCATGGGACCAGGTCATCTGGGGTTCTGACCAGATCGGGACCCGTGTTGGCAGGGCCTGGATGGTGAATGAGGAGGTGTCAGAAGGAACCACTTTGGGGGCTGGTCACCCCAGTTTCAGTCTCATCCCCTTCTGGGTCTCAGAGTTGGAGTCCCCTTCTAGGGTGGGGTGGGGTAGTCGGTAGGGAGTGATGGAGTCTGGAAGGTGAATCAGGGTGAGGCGGTAGGGGCTACAGAGAGACACTTCCAGGCTCTGCACTCCCTGTCCCAGTCCTGCCCCCAGGAATCTGCAGTCCCCAGGCCTGCTTTACGGTATCTGTCCCTCCCGGGGCACCTGGGACCATACCTGGTGGGAAGGACTGGCGGCTGACAGCTTCCGGTGCTGGGCGTCGGGGGCGACACAGGACCAGAGGTCCAGGCTCTTGGGGGCTGAGCTCTTATCGGACTTCGGAGGGACAATGTCCCAGCCCAGCAGGCAGTGCTGTGCAGAGCAAAGGGTCAAGGCATCTGGCCTGGAGCAGGGCTCCCCCAAACAGTCATGGTGTCCCCCACAGACTGAGGCTTTCCCAGGGCAGGGGCCTGTGTCCACCCACTGGGTCACCTTTTCCTAACCCTGCCGGCCCAGGCCCTATGTGGGCAGAGGGAATTCCGGGGAGCACTTCCTGTGTGCCGGGCTATGCCCCGCACCGCTGACAGGTACTGATTCATTGCTCCGCCGCACCACACAGGCCTGAGGACGGTGTGCTGTACCCATTTCATAGATGAACCAACAGACTTTTCTTGGCACCCCTGCTCCTCCCTGTAGGCCCAGCTCCCCCAGCCTCAACTGGGTGTGCTGTCCTACTCAGGAGACACAAAGGACATCTCTATGGAAGGCACTATGGAAGCACAAGGACCTGGGTTCAAATCCCAGCTCTTCCACCTGGCTCATCTTGGACAAATCATCTCCCTCTGCCTCGGTCTCGTCTGTGAAGTGGGACAAAAGCAGCACCTGCACTTTTGGTGGCTGTGGGAGCGCCATGGGATAATTCTTCTAAGGACTGCACGCACAGCACACAACAGCTCAATAAATAGGCCCACCTGCGCTATGCCAGTGCGTGGGCAGACACATCCTGAACGCCAGGGGTGGACCGAGTGCCTCACCTCCCTCAGGGAGCAAGAGCACAGGTGACGGAGTGGCCCGCCTGAACTCGAGACTTGGGTGCTCATCCTCCAGCCCAGCCTCGCTGTGTGGCCTTGGCACAGTCCCTGGCACTCTCTGGGCCTCCAGCTCCATCTGGGGACCTGGGCCAGACAGGGGGCAGCCCCACGCCCACGCCACCCCGGCCCCATGTGGCTGCTCACCCGAGGCAGGGCCAGCGTGTCCGAGGCATCAAAGCTCTTCCGCCGGTGGATGTGGTACTGGTGTGGGGGGTCCAGCACAGACAGTGGGATGCTCACCCTGGGCGAGGGTGACAGTGGGGACATTGCTGCTGGGGCCTCCTGGCTGCCGTGGGGCCACAGCAGGCCCATCCTGCCCTCCCTCAAACTGGCAGGCCCCAGGCTCTGACCTCGTTGTCAGCTGCTGCTGCCCGCCCCCTAGTTGCCCCCAAGGTGTCCTACCTGCTTTTGCCACTCACCTGACCTGCGCTGGCTCCGCCAGGGTCTCAGGGCCCCGCTGGTCCCGTGGTATCCTGCACAGGCGGCAGGGGGTGGCAGGGTCCGAAGGCACCAGGAACAGGCGCTGGTTGACATGGTAGCAGTACAGGCCTGCGAGGCCCGTGAGAAACAGCAATCCCCCTCAGCGGCGGAACCCAGATCCCAGGGCCCCTTGCTGTCCCCAGCCACTTGGGCCCGCCAACCCCTCCACCCCCTGAGCACGTGTACACACACAGAGCATGCACACATACTTGTGCTCACACACAAATACAGCTTCACAGTCACATCTGTGGACACACATGCACGTGGCCATATTTGTAATCACACACACAGGGTGTACACACATGTATGTCTACACGAACATGCCCCATTCACATATGTACAGTGTATGATGCACATGCAAACCCACAGCAAAGACTCGTGTGCTCACGTGACTGAGCCGGGACCCCCCCCACACACAGGTGACGCATGTACAGAGAGGAGGGGGAAGAGTGGGGACATGAGAAAATGAGACAGCTGGGAAGAAAATGAAGGCGGCTGGGGAGGGGGTGGCAGGGTGACATAGGACCAGCCCTAATCCCCACAAGGCCAGGCCTCAGCTCATCCCACCTCCCACCAGGGCTTGGCATGCCCTATCCGGACCCCAAGCCTCCCTTCCCGAGTCCCCAGCACCCAGCTGCCTCCCCAGATCCCCAAGACCTCGGCTGGGCTCTGGGGTGGCCTATGAGGGTTTACACTCACATTCATGTTCTTTCTCAACACCACTGCTCTCCTGCGGGCCTAGGAGCTGGGGTCTGTGAGAGTGAGCGGCGTGAGCAGGGGGGGGCGACGGGTCCCTGAGCTGCCTGCCCACCGCTCGCCCACCCCTGCTCACTCGGGGTCACTGTGAATACAGTCCTCCTTGTTGGCTTCACGGAACTCCTGCAGCTTCGAGAAGAAGGCCTCAGGCTTGCTGCTGATGGGCGAGCTGTTGTCCAGGGACCCTGGAGTGGGCAGAGCACCGGGAGCTGCTGTGTGGCCACTGGCCAAGGCTCAGAGGACACTCAGCGCTGTCACTGCAGGGCACCTGCTTTGCCCCCACCGGGCCTCGTACAGACCTGGAAGGTGCCCGCCACTCACTGTGACTGCTGCTTTTGTCTCAGTGTCTGCCTACCCTGACGCATAGCCAGTCATCGGTGCAAAAAATATTTATAGAGCCCCTGCTACGGGCTAGGCACTGTTTTATGTGCTGAGGAAAGAAGGAGCAGTGAACTAGACAAAGTCTGTGCCCTCGTGAGGCTTACAGTCTAATATGGTGGCAACAGAGGAACTAGCCACCATGGAAACCTGTGATATAACATCAAATGGTGACACCGGCCAGGAAATAAAAGAGCAGAGTCAGGGAACCCAGCTTGACAGGGTGGGGGTGCCAGGGGAGGCCTCTTGAAGGGGGTGACACCTGAGCAGAGACCTGATGAAGGGAGGGAAGGAGCAAGCCATACCTGCAATCCAGTCGTAGCCCAGGTATGGTCTGAGGCGCCAGCTCTCCTTAGGCACTGGAGATTCCTTACTGAAGGTCACTCTTGGCTGAGGAGGCAAAGAGGGGAAGGGTTAGGCCCCACCTGGGGGAAGGAAAGGGACCATGACTTAACTGACACCCTGACATGGGCCCCAGGTCTCAGCCGAGGGCTCGGGGCCTGAAAGATAAAGAGTTTGGTTTCCTCCCCTCTCTATATGCGACTTTGAAGTGGTGTGGCCTCTGAGCCTTGGTCTTCCCATCTGTATCATGGGGTTCATCACCTTCTCCCCAAAGTGCTATCCGAGAAACTAAAAACCACCTCTTATCTAGCACTTAGGCTGAGCTGGACACAACTCATGGTATCTCCTGGACAGCCTCTCACCTTGCAAGCGAGGCTGCCCATGAGTGCCCTTGTCAGACAGGGAAACTGAAGTTCAAGGACACTCCCATCAACAGATGCCCCACTCTCCCATGTCACCTTGGATAGCTTGCTTTGTTGATCCAGGATGGACATCGGGGTCTGTGCCTCCAGCTCTGATGAATACTCTGGGTCACTCGAGTCTGAGGTGGCCAGCAAGGGTGCCGAGCAGGGCCTCAGTGGGCTCAGGGACTCCTGGTACTGGCACTTGGCAGGTGGGAGAGAGGTCACCCCAGAGCTGGCCCCGCCAGGCCAGGAGGTATCACAGGGGTCACCTTGGTGGGTATCGCGTGGGCAGGAGGCTCTCAGGGCCACTGAGGATGTCCTTTGGGACGATGACATCTCTGGGTCATAGCTGCTGCTGGAGTCTAGGCTTGACTAGAACAGAGAGGCCAGGTCACCCAGCCAGCCACCCAGCGGGCACGTACTAAGCATAAGAGCCTAGGTCCTCATCCCTGTTCCAGCCTCTGCAGGGTCCCACGCCAGTCCCTTCCCTTGCTGGGCCTCAGCTTTCTCGACAGCAGTTCAATCAATGGGCACGCTGCACAGGATGGCGCTGGAGGCCCAGGTCCGGCCTGAGGGTTAGCAGCCCCTTCCTCATCTTCTGAAAGCTCCCAGGGTGGACACCCACCTCTGAGGCCGCCTTGGCCACCGACCGCCGCACGGCATCCTGCCCAACCCACAGCTGCCTCAGGAGCTCCAGGTTGAGCTGCCGCAGCTGCACCAGGTCCTTGGTCTCCACCATCCTGGGTGTATCATCTGGCTTCCCACAGTGGAGAGTGGATACCACCGACTCCTGGGCTGCAGAGTGCCCTCAGGCCCAGCTCGGTTACCTGCAGCCAAGACAGAATGACACAGGGTTTAGGAGGCTGTCCTGTGGAGCCAGAGGCCTGGGTTCCAATCCTCCCAACTCTGATACTCCCTAATTGTGCAGCTTTGGGCAAGTTATTTAACTTCTCTGTGCCTCAGTTTCCTCTGCCAAGCAGAGATAATGGTATCTACCTCCTAAGGTGGTTGTAGGAATTAAATGAGGTAATGCATGTTAAATCTTAGTTACAGTGCCTGGCACACAGTAAGCATTCAATAAAAGTCTATTATTATTAATCTGGCCAGGGTGTGTTTCCTTACATGCCAAGAGAACAACACCCCTTTTAACAACCTTAACTGTAAGATTAGACTAGTTTAATTTACAGAAAACAATCAGAGCAAGTCTACAAATGTAAGGCACTATAACTTGTGAATCCAACACAAATCAGGTTTCTGAAGGGACTCTTCTGTCTCTCCTGCCCACCCTTCCTGCTTCCCTTTCTTTCTACAAATGAAGAAACCAAAGTTCAGAGAAGTTAAGCAACTTGCCCCAAGTCACACAGCCACTAAGTGGCAAAGCCAGGATTTGAACCCAAATCTAGCTCTGGGGACCATGGTCATGCCAGCCTGTCCCCAGCAGTGTGGAGAGGGGCCTAGGAAGCCACTTCCTCCTTCTCCCAGCTTTCCCACACTCCCACTCCACTCCCCCACCCCACACCCACCGGGATCCAGGCTCAGGGGCACACAGATGCCTCTGGAAGGGATTTCTGCAGGCTGGGGGAAGGGGCTCCCCACTTCCCTCAGAGCCTAGACTCCTGCAACCAGAAAGTCTTCCCCAATACACACAATCCCTTTTTAACACTGGGTCCAGTCATACATCTACTCTCAGAAATGCTACCCCAGCCCTCCCAACCCACACTCCTCACACACCCGGTGTGTGGACCGCCCACACCCGGTGTGTGTGGGAGGGGGGTGGAGGGGCGGGGCAGGGAGACTCCTTAGCGCCAGGCTGCAGGGGCTAAAGCAGAGAGAAGCCAGACTTACTTACACTGGACGGCGCCCCACCCCCCACTTCAAATATGTCCCGCAAGGAACGGGGGACAGAGGGGATGCAAGTACAGACGACTCTACGGGGGTCTCTCGTATGCAAGGGGGGCAAACAGCCGGATCCGCCGGCCCTGGGAGTCCCAGGGTCCATCCTTATCTGATCCGAGACTCTGGGCCTTACTAAGGGTCTCCGTTTTCACACCAGGTTAAAAAGAACAGTCTGTACTGACTTCCTCCGGCTCCGTTCTGGAAAGCTAAAAGCTGCACAAATGCAACGGGAGGGCAACATTCAAAAGAGAAATTAGGGCAGCAAAAGCACCAGAGGCAGTGTCGGGGGACGCAGAGGGACTCCCGAGAAAGGGAGACTGAGCCCACCTTAGCACTTGGAGTAAAATCCATCTTTCCCATAGCGGCCCCCAAACCTTCCGCAGGAATACACCCGGGAACTCCCACCGAGCCCTTTCCCCTATCCCAGGACACGCCAGTCCCGCACTCACCGCCCGGAAGCTCGGGATCCCGGCTGCCTGCTGCGACCTCCGCTGCCTGGCGTTCCGCCCCGCCCACTCCACAAGTGCCAGCGGGGGTGGGGCCCGATCCAGTCACCCTGATTGGTCAGATGATGGGACGCGCCTGCGAGCGTTACTTAGCGTTCTGAAACGGCTGTGTTTCAATATTGGGGCGGGACTAACAACGTTATTCAACAGCTGATTGGTCAACTCCCAACGTCGATTTTTTTTTTTCGGAATGGGGCGGACCCCCAGAATGCGGACTCTGATTGGCCAGGACGAGACGCTAGCTATGCCGTGTTTGGAGGAGTTAGTTTCATAATCTGGATCTGACGCTGCTCCCAAGCGTTGGGATGTAGCCTTGGGATACCCGGCGAGCGGAGTAGGCGGTGTCTGACGACCCATTCTTTCATACTTTTTCTTTCAAATATTTATCGTGCCTACTTTGTGCTGTCCTAGGTAGGCACTGAGAGGCAGGATAGAATTAAAAGGAGTCCCTGCTGGAGGAGGGAGACAGGAAGGGTATGATAAACAGATACGTATTAGAATCCAGTCTGTAAAATATGAGTAAATTTACATGGAGTGCCTACTGTGCAAGGTATTTACCATATACCAGTGCATGCCAGCCTCATCAATGTGCTTTAAAATGTGCGTTAATGGTCCCATTTTACAGACAAAACAAAAAAACAAGTCCATGAGAGAAGTGAGTTGCCCAGAACATCTTAAAACCAATAAATGTAATTCCCAAATTAACAGACAAAAAGAAACAAGAGCCATCAATAGATGCAGAAAAATTCACCAAGAATTATCCCTTTTTCCTAGTGGTTGAAAATAGGAGTGCCACAATCTGCCTTTTACCTTGGAGAGATGTCCCCGCGTTTGACAAAATTCAACATTCGTTTCTGATTTTTAACAATCTTTCAGCAAACTAGGACCGGCAAGGAACTTCCTCATCCTGATAAAAGGCAACACCTACAATTAACAGCATATTTCATAATAAAATACAATGTTTTCCGCCTAATATCAGGAAAAGGTAAGTATGTTTATTCTCACCACTTCGACTTTATACTAGAGTAGTAGCCAGTGCAACAAGAAAAATAAAGGCATCTAGCTTGGAAAGGAAGAAGTAAAGCTGTCTTTATTCACAGACAGCGTAATAGAAAATCTCATGGAATCTACAAAAAAGCTGCTAGAATTGTTAACAAATTTTGCCACATTGCAGGATACAAGATCAACATATAAATCAACTGTATTTCTATATATTAACAACAAGCAATCAGAAATTGAAAAAAAATTCAAACACCATTTAAAATAGCATCAAGAATATATGAGGGCCAGGCCAGTCAAGTGGCGCAATGGTTAAGAACTCGCTTGGGATGCCAGAGGACCCCGGTTCGGATCCCACATATGAGGGCCAGTGACACTGCCCTCCACAGCTAAGATGCTGAACAGCAGCTCAACCTGGAGCTGGGCTGCGGGGAGTCGCCGGCGATGGCGTAGGCTGCAGCCCCTGTGGCAGTGGGTTGCCATGGGCTACCGTGTGTATCCAGCAGCCAGCGTGAGTGGGCAGCAGCCGCAGTGAGCGGCCAGCAGCCGCAGTGAGCGGCCATTCAGAAAGCTGGCGCCTGATCTGCCTCTCCCGGGAAGAGCGCAATGATGGTGCCACCTTGGGCCAGTGAAGCAACGTCCTCCACAACTAGACTGAAGAACAATGCAAACAGCAACTTGTCTGTTCCCCTTCCCCCAATTCCCCAGCACTGTTCTCATCCCCCCAATTCCCCAATAAAAAATCTTTAAAAAAAATGAAAATGAAATACTTAGGAATAAACCTGACCAAAAAGTACAAGACCTGCATATTAAAAATTATAAAATGTGTGAAGAGAAATTAAAGATTAAATAATCAGAGTGATACAATGTGTTTATAGATTCAAAAGAAAGGCTCAAAAATTTTAAGCTATCAGTTCTCCCCCAAGTAGACCTATAGACTCAATGTAATCCCAATCAACATTCCAGTTCGTCTCTTTGTAGAAATTGACAATTTCTAAAACTCATATGGAAATGCAAAGGACCTAGATTGTTCTTTGTTTTCAAACTTGTTTTGACAAAGTCAGGTGACCTCCACTACCTGCTCCAAGACTTAGTATAAAGCTCCAAAGTGTAGTACTGCATCAAGCTAGTCAAACAGAGCACTGAAACGGAACAGAAAGTCCAGAAATAGTCCCACATGTATATGGTCAATTAACTTTGACAAAGATGCAAAGGCAATTCAGTAGAGGAAGGAGAGTCTTTTCATTTTCAGCAAATGGTGCTGAAATAATTGGATATCCATAGGCCAAAGACACACACACCACCAAACAAAACAAAATTTTCGGAATCCTCTATGTGGGTACCATATGTAAAAATTAACTCAAAATAGACTTAATTGCAAATCCTAAAACTATAAAACTTCTCAAAGAAAATCTAGGAGAAAATCCTTGTGACCTTGGATCCAGCAGAAATTTCTCAGATGTGACACCAAAAGCACAATCTATAAAAGAGACAATGATAAATTAGGCTTTGTAAAAATTAACTTCTAGGGCCGGCTGAGTGGCTCAGTTGGTTAAGAGCTCGCTCAAGAGTTTGAGCTCTGAGCAACAGCAGTTCGAGTCAGCCCGAGCTGAGCAGCCNTGAGCTCTGAGCAACAGCAGTTCGAGTCAGCCCGAGCTGAGCAGCCGTGAGCTGCCAACAGGTGGCGGGATGGCTCAGCTAAAAAAAAAAAAAAAAAAATTAACTTCTGCTCTTTGAAAGACATTGTTAATGGAAAAACAAGCCACCAGATGGAAAAAAAATGTTTGCAGATCACAAATCTAATAAGGAATTTGTATCAATAATAATAATGCACTCTCAAAACAACAATGCAATTTTTTAAATGAGTAGAAGACTTGAATGGACATTTCACCAAAGAAGAGATACAGATGGCAAATAGGCACATGAAAAGATGCTCAACATCATAAGACTCTCTTACTGAGCCTTGCCAGAGTATCCATACAGCATCCTTACCCACCAGGAATACCTCTAACACCAGCTTTCATCTCAGTCTGGCTTTTTACAGTCCCCTCTTGCTCTAAGCTCCATTCACTAGGCAAATGTAAAATACTCGTAAAACCACAGTGTGATACCACTACATAACTATATGTCTAAAATTACAGTGTGACAAAGATGGGGGGAAACTGGAACCCCCATGCTCTAATGGTGGGAGTGTAAAATTGTACAGTCACTTTACAAGACAGTTGGGCAGTATCTTAAAAAGTTAAGTATGAATTTACCATATGGCCCAGCAATTCAGTCCTAGGTATCTACCCAAGAGAAATGAAAACATCTCCTCACAAAGGCTTGTACATGAATGTTCCCGGCAGCATTATCCATAATAGCCACAAAAAATGGAAACAATCCAAATGTCCATCAATTTATAAACAGATAAACTAAATGTGGCCTATCCATACAATGGAGTCTATTTGGCGATAAAAATGAACAAAGTATTGACACACACTATGACATGGATGAACCTTATGCTAAGTGAAAGAAGCCAGAAACAAAAGGCCACGTATTGTATGATTCCATTTATATGAGAAGGCTTCTACAGAGACAGAAAATATATTAGCAGTTTCCTGGGTATAGGGTAGGAACAGGGGGTTACTGCAAATGGGCACGAGGGATCACTTTGGGGCGATGAATGTATTCTAAAACTGGATTGTCATGATGGCTGCACAACTTTGTAAATTTGCTATAATTGTTGAATTGTACATTTAAAATGAGTGAATCTTAAGGTATGTAAAATATGCCTCAATAAAGCTGGGGTTTTTTTGTTTTGTTTTTAATTGGGGAATTGGGGGAAGGGGAACAGACAAGCTGCTGTCCTTTTGTTCTTCAGTCTAGTTGTGGAGGACGTTGCTTCACTGGCCCAAGTTGGCACCATCACTGCGCTCTTCCCGGGCGAGGCAGATCAGTCGCCGGCATCTGGACGGCCGCTCACTCTGGCTGCTGGCTATACACGGTAGTCCATGGCAACCCACTGCCACAGGGGCTGCAGCCTACACCGTCGCCGGCGACTCACGGCAGCCCAGCTCCAGGCTGAGCTGTTGTTCAGCATCTTAGCTGTAGAGGGCAGTGTCACTGGCCCTCATATGTGGGATCCGAACCGGGGCCCTCTGGCGTCCCAAGCCAGCTCTTAACCAACGCGCCACTCGGCCGGCCCAGGACAGAGTGACTTTAGCTGACATGTGTGAGGAGGGACCAGGCTTGGAACAGAGAGGTACATTCCTGGCTACATACCTTTTGTGATTAAATGGCAGGAGAGCCCAAAATTCCCGCCTCTCAGACTTCCCAGAACTCTCAGTGGACAGTGAGGTAGGTTGAGAAGCCACAGGAATGAGTCTGACCTTGACTGGGAATAAAAAACTAGGTGGTGTTGGGTGAGGCAACAGGGTGGAGAGCGCCCTTTTTCAAACTGCAGGTCATCATCCAGGAGGAGCTGGTGAACGAATTCTGTGGGCTGCAAATAACTGTCTGTTGGTTGCATGCAGAAAGGGCAATGGTTGATGTAAAATTTCTGGTTTCGCTTACATATACATGTGTGTACTGGATCACGATGTACATCCAACTGTGGGTCAGGGTAAAAAATTACGTTTGAAAGCCACTGGGCTTTGGGAAATCAGGACGTGGGCCCCACTCAGGCTCCCTCACCCCGGCAGCTGCTGAGACCTGGACATCTGAAAGCCCCCCGTGCCGTGCCTGCCTGTAGGAATCTTCCGGTAGCGTTTGTTCTGCCCCCCAGCAGGAGAGGGCTGATAATGGGTGGACTGTGTTCTCAGGACAGGACTCATTAATTCGGCAAGTATTTTCTGAGTTCCGATTCTGTGCCAGGCACTGGTCTAGGTGCTTGGCACACATCAATAAACAAAACACACAAAAATCTGAGCTTACGTTCTAGCAGGTAGAGACACACAAAAAAACAGCATTATGTGTTAGACGAGGACTATTATGGAAAACATGTGTTACTCGTTGTAGGGTGAGGGGACTCAGAAGGAGAGACAGGTTTTAAGTAAGGGGGTCTGGGGAGGCCCAGACAAAGAGTTAATCTGGAGGTAAAACAGTCAACTGGCTGGGGAGCTGTCTGGAAGAGCAGGCAGGGGGCCGGCAGGGCGAAGGCCTTATGGGAAGTGTGCTGAGCAGTTTCAAGACACGGCGGGGTGGCTGAAGCGGGAGCAACAGGGAGTGAGGGGTGGTCGGTGGCCGTGGAGACCCCAAAAGCCACCGCAAGCACCTGAGCCTTGTTCTGGGTGGGACAGGAAGTCAAAGCAGTGTTTTGAGCAGATAAGGAACACCAGTTGAGTTCTATGTCAAATCTATGTCAAGGTCACTCTGGGTGCTGCCTTGACACCAACACAAAAGGGCCAAGGTGGGAGGAGGGGCGGAGTTAGGCGGCAGAAACCAGGTCAGAGGGGTGGTTGTGATGAAGTGGGAAAGGGGTCACAGTCTGGCTGTATATTGAGGACAGAAACCCACGGGTTAAATGCAGCATGTGACAGGCGAGTCCAGGATGCTGCTCCCAGTTTGTGGCCTGGGACCCTGGAGGGTGAGGCCGCCATCCACCAAGATGTGCAGGCCTCTGAGAAGGACCAGCACTGCCGGCAGTGGGCGGAGCCAGAGCCCAGCGCCAGGTGTGGGGGGCCAAGGAAGCTGACTAGGCATGCCTGCAGCCACTGCTGAGCCCTCAAAAAAAGAGAAAGAAAAGGTCACCACCAAGTTCTCAGAAGGCAAAACTAGGGTGGACCAGTCTGAGTCACGGCTTTTTAAGTGAAAAATGAATGGTTTGGAGTTATAGCGAAATCGGTGAAGAAATCACTCTAGATTTCCTGGTCCCTAAAGATTAGTTACGCGTTTTGTTCTTCTGAGAGTATCAGAGTCCTTCCAGGAGTGGGGAGGAACCCACAGGCAGATCGCAGTGGGAACTTCCCCTCAGTACAGATAAGGTCATTTCAGATGACAGCCTGCAGACAGCTTCAGAACAGTCAACGGAGATCCCACAAAGGGTTTCCAACTAGTTTTATTTTAGTTTCCTATATTATCAGCAATGATACAGGAATAATTCAGGCAAATATATCCCCTTAAATACATCAGAGAAAAAACTCACTGTGCAAAGCACGTCTCGCATTCTAGCAAATGAACATAAAAACAGAGAACCAAGTCAGCAGCATTAAGTCAGTGTTTTCTGCCACGTTTCTTTCAGTCTCCCTCCGTGGGATACACTGCACTTGACTTACTGTGTAAGCTCAAAATTACATTCACTGCCCAGGGGCTACATTAAAAAAAATTCATGTTTTATTATTCTAAATAATTTCTTTTCCCCAAAACACAAAATTCATCGGAACTGTATGACGCTGCCTTCTCCTGGCACATGGTGAGGTGGCCACCATCGGGCCTGGCAAAGAGCTCAGAAGTCCTCCCACCGCGTGCCGACCTCGGCAAAGTCCATCGTTTTGTTCCACACAACAGGGCAGGCTGAGGGTTTGAAAACCCAGCGGGTACCTGGGGAGGACGCACCTGCGTGGCCACCCACCAGGGAGCAGAGGCCACCAGCTCACATCCCTGAAGTCGGAGGACAGCCAGTGGATTCAAAAGAGCAGGACAAAGCCCAGTTCTCTGCCTGAGCCCTGCCTCGTTCGGGGAGAGGTACTGCTTGTTTTTAACATGTTCTCTGACCTGTGCTGCAAAGGCTGTCATCCAAAGGCTACTTGCCCCACACAACATATTGGAGACAGGAACCGTCCCCACTTTAACCAGTAACAATACCAAACTCAACAATGGTAAACATTTCTCCAAGTCAACAGGAGGCCACGTGGGATCGGGGAGGGTGGGAGGTTGAGTCCTGGGGTTCCCACACTGCCTCTTTGCCAACTGCAGCATCACTGGCACAGGAGACAGTCCAGAGGGCTGGTGGCCAAGGCAGGGGTGGGCACGGGTCTCTTAGGGGCATAACAAGGATGTAACCAAGCTAGTGGGGTGGGCTCTCGGGCCCCATGAGCCTCTCAGTGAGATCCAGTGGAGGATTCTGTTCTGCGCCAGCTCCACATTCTCCAGGCGTCCTGAACGGGGTCCACTCCTCTCAGCCTGTGCCGAGGTCCCCTTCTTCCGTCTTCCCATCTACACATCCTTTAACAATCCGGACTAAGCCATCTTTGACCAATAAAAAAACCAGACTCCACAGGCCAAGGGCCAAAACTAGAACAGCAGGCAGTGAAGAGGCGGCACATCCCTCCGCGTCACAGTAACCGCAGCCCCCATGACAGCACAGGCAGCAGGACAGGGACACACCTCTCCACACCAGCTCCCCAGAGCTCTTCTCACTACCCCAGGCGTCCTGCTGCGTCTTCCCTCCCCCTCCTGCCCACCTCACCTAAAATCCAAGGCGTGTCTGAAAGGCTCTGAAAATGGGACAAAGCATGAAAGCTGAACGACTGAACTCACACGCAAGCCACATATCCTGGGAAGGAACTACTGCCAATGCAATCTGGGAAGAAAACCCAGCCATCCCCTAAGGTGGCCCTTTTCTGCAGGTGTGCTGGGGTGAGCGGAGCAGGTGTGCATGGGTATTAGTGTTGGCCGGAGGCGGCGGTGCCTGCCTGACACCCCGACAGACTCCACGCAGGCATTCTCAACACTGGGAGATCCAAGACCTTATCAAGTAGTCAAGGGATTCTCAATCAAGGGAACCTGACAAAGCAGAGAAGACTCGTTCTGACTCCTCAGTCCCACGCTGTCCGTGGTTGTCGTTAAGAAAAAGTCTTCAGGGGTACGAGCTGGAAAATCTCCTGCAGCAGCAGGCAGAGGAGGGGCAGGTAACTAGTGTTTAAGGGCTCAGAACGGTATGAGACAGTGGGTGGTTTCATTCTCATGGCCCTGGCGCAGGCCCCGGCAGAGGCCCCGTGCAGCTGACGGCAACGGCACTGCCCTCTCCACGCAGGCGCGGGCTCCAGGCTGCCCACTATCTGCTGGGCTGCAGGTACTGGTGCGCGAACATGTTGAGCTCACTGTCCATCCAACCACCTTTATTCCTGCAGAGAAACAGGGACTTTGTAGCACTAACAGCTGACAATAGGTAGTACTGGCATTACATGCCAGGCGCAGTTCTAAGGACACGTGACACGGAGCCTCATGTACTCCTCCCATAACCCCCATCTCATTCACACGAGGAAAATGAGACCCAGGGAGGTGAAATAACTTCCTACGGGCACACGATTAATCAGTGGTGGAGCTGAAAGGGAGGCTTTTCCGGCCATCAAGCTGTGTCTGCTTCATCCTGGGACCACGGGCAAGTCCTGAACTGGCAGGAACTCAGTTTTCCTGCCTGTCCCATTTCAGGTTCAGCCTGTCCCTGTGGCTGAGTCGGCAGACACCCCTCCTCACCCCCACGCACACCCTGACAGTTCCCAGGGGATGATGAGCAGTGTGTCCCTAGAAAATGGCTGCTGGGGTGGTGGGCGGAGGGCACAGGGTGCAGTCAGTCGGGGAAGGGGAAGTCCATTTATCTGCTGAGGGGGCTGGAGCCCATGCCTTCTGATGCAGCTCCCCTTTGGTGCTGACGTCAGGGGCGGGGGCAGGAAGCACAGGGTCCCCGGGTGCTGATGCTATCTCGGGCTGAGCAGGCCAAGGACTTTCACAGAGCACAGACACGTTCAGCTCTGTGGCTGCATCACGAAGTCTTACTCCACTTTACAGATAAAAATTGAGACACAGGACAGCTCAGGGATTTGCCCAAACATGAGTGCCTGGACCGGAACCCAGGACTCCTGACTCCTTAGGTCAATACTTTGCTCAGGAAACTCAAGAGATTCAACGGAGACCCACGCAAATCTGGGTTCCAATTGGGACCCTGGTGGTTATCTGCTACCTAGCCAGCTTCCCTGTGGGTAAAAATGCTGACCTGACCCCTTCCTTGGGCTCAGAGAGAAACGGAGTAAGATGTGTACGGTGGGTCTAGCCCAGTGTCCCCAGCACACAGCAGACAATAAAGGACAATCAACATGCAGTGTCAAAGGGTGCTGGGGCCAGGCACACCTGGATTCTTCTACTCCTGGCTTGACCATATAATGTGATTACTTAACCTCTGCAGGCCCCATCTTCCTTTTTATAAAATGGAGATGATGATGTGACCCTGAAAGGATGCTGAAGGTTGAGTGGAACAGCTCGTGTCAAGTGCCTAAGACATTGCAGTTAAGAAGGTGCCAGTGAGGGCTGGCCGAGTGGCTCTGTTGGTTAAGAGCTCGCTCAAGAGTTTGAGCTCTGAGCAACAGCGGTTCGATGCCCGGCCTGAGCTGAGCTGCCGCTAAGCTGCCAATAGGTAGCAGGATGGCTCAGCTTAAAAAAAAAACAAAAAACAAAAAAAAGAAAGTACCAGTGAGCTGTGACCTCACAGTCCCATCCTGCTTGGTTCCTCTGTGGCCACCATGGCCCTGACTGCTGACTGCAGGTGCCTAGAGGGCAGTGACTACGTAGTACTGAGGCTCCAGAGTTAGCACCCAACAGGTGACCAGCAGGTGTCCAGCAAACATCTAACACTTGAGCGAGCTAAATGCCAACCAGAGCGATTCGTGTCCACACCCAAGCAGCTGAGCACCCAACGTGCCTGCGCCACACACCAGAGCCAACCGCCTCCCGCCGTCAAGGCCAAGCTCACCTGAGCAGTTTTGCTTTGCTCTGAAGTGAATCAAGAACCTCAATTTTCCCATTCATGGCAGCAATTTCCTGTTCTAGGTTCTCCCGAGTGACATCGACTTGCTGGCACAAATGAGCAAAAGTCCCAGACAGTTCCCTGAGGGAGAGAGTTAGTCGGGGTGAACCAGGCTACAAGGATGCTTCGCAGGACACTGTCAGGGGCTAAACCCGACCCGCCCAGAGCAGGGCAGCAGCCGGGCCCACTGTCACCTGTTGGCGGCTCTGCCCTGCACCAGTCCTGGTTTGGCAGACTCTTCCCTACCCCCTGCGGAGGCTGTGCCCATCACAACCACCACTCACACTCAGCGTCACCGCAGTGTGCACCTGGCTTGGGCACAAGAGACCAGGACTCAGATCCTGGCTCTGCTGCTAATGAGCCGAGTGACAGGGCACAAGCGACTACTCTCCAAGTCTCCATTTCTTCATTTTGAAAAAGCAGATGCCAAGAAAAACAAGGTCTACCTCTAAAGGGTTGGAGAAAATAAAAAATCAAAATGCCTAGCAAGGGCTTGGGCCTGCCACACAGCAGCTGGCATTTCACACCCCACCGCCCAGGCCAAGCGAAGACGTGCCATGGAGAATGGGCTGTGGCGGCTCAGAACTGCAAAGCTTCACACAGAACCCAAGCCCTTCAAGGCAACCTTTAAAAAAACCCTTCAAGTAATGCCACTCCGCTACCGTCCTCCTCTGGGGGACCAGACACCTACTTGGTCCCAGCCTGGGACATAGGTCCCTGGAGACAGGCCTGTCCCCATCCCTGGCCTCAAGCTAGCGCTGCACAACTGAAGGCCAGGGTCAGATGATGCTCAGGACCCAACGGCTTCTGGGCCGAGGTCAGAAGGGAACCCCGAGGGAAGTCCTGCACACGGGAGCAGGTGCCGGCCCCTCAGGATGGACAGCCACTCACTGCTGGACTTGGTGGCTGCAGTTGGAGCCGGTGTAGCTGATGATGAGCTGCAGCTTCTCGCTGGCGTACTCTACAAACTGGCGTTTGAAGGCCCTCTCCTTGGCCTTGGTGGTCCAGGTCAGGCGCTCGTAGACGTAGAGGAGGCCATAGAGACCAAAGGAGAGGGCGATGAGCCGCCAGCCCACCGCCTTCCACACCTGTGGGAGCACAGTGGTCAGCCGGCGCAGCCTCCGCCACCCCGCCGCCCATCCTCTCGTCTGTCGCCGCCAGGACTTCCGCAAAAGCCCAGTCAAGGAGCTTTGTGTTTCGCCTCAGAACAGCGCTTTCAATGTCTCCTCTAATCCCACTGAGGCCAGAAGGGCAGAGACCGTCTCTAGTTTTAAAATGAGGGAAACTTAGTGTTGGCCCCACTAGTGGCCCCACGTGACTTGTGCAAAGTGGGGGGTGGGAGTATCAGGGCCACAAGCACAGGTCCAGGCATGGAGACTTCCTAAAGATAAATGTGCTGACGGCGCTGACAAGCTGAATTCTGCCATCCTTCCTCCACAGATGGCTTCTTTTGGTCTGGTTTGTAACTTTGCTTCAAGGCACCGCAGGTATATTCAAAGAGCATTGGACTTGAAGCCAGAAATCGAGGCTCTAGTGCAGACTGCCATCCTGGCTGTGACCTTGGCCAAGTTTCTGTACACCTGTTTCCTCACAGAACCAGCATAAGGTCTCCACCCAATTCATAGGGATATTTGGGTAAAGCAAGGTACTGGAAAAGCGTTACATAACCATCCTGTGTCAGCGTCTCCACCAGTGACCCTCTGCCAGGTCACCTCCATGAAAGAACCAAGCACGTGACTTCTGTAGACAAGGAGCGGGAGGGGCCCCGACTCTGTGTCACCCTAATCTTACAAGCTGAGGATGCAGGACCTGACAGTTTGGTCACAGGTATATTCTGCCACCGTTCTACAAGTCAAATGCCGTTGATAGAGAAGCCTGCCCACAGCATCAGGAAAATCCAAGGCGTAAGTTACTCTGGCGGCAGTGTACCGCGGGTCGGGACACAGGGATTACCCCCGGTATCAAGAAGGCAGTCTAATATCAGGCCTTCGGGTGGAAAGGAAGGGCCATAAAACCAGGACATGGGGAGGCAAGGGTTCAAGGCCCGGCTCGCCCTCTTTTGTCTTAAAACCTTGCAAGTTGTGCTCTTGACTTCACGCCCAGCTCTCTAGAAGCCGGGCTTGTCGATTTCTCAGGTCACTTCCTATCCAGCGTGCAGTTCAGGCCCCACAGGGGAAAGAACATGGCCTTAGAGGCAGACGGGGCCACAGTTCAAATCTACTGTGTATCTCTGGCAAACAAACCACGGACTTGCCTTATCTGTAAAATGGGAACGGTGCTATCTAAACATCATGTTAGTTGACTTAAATAAGTCAATAAATATACGTTAAATGACTAAAGCTGCAAACGCTGTGCCCGCTGTGAAATGCTAGGCCAACACAGGGAACACCCCCAGAACTGTGCCCCTCAGTCCCCGCCCACCTGTCCTCCCCTGACCCCTTCCCAAGCAGGGCTTGGCACTGACCACTCCTCCAACAACGAGAATGCCCATGGAGGTCCTGGATGTCAGGGAGGCCAGGCCAGTGACCATGGAAACCATGAGTTCTTCTTGGGTGAGGGAGCCCTGTGGCAGGGGGGGCATGCTGGGGTTGGCTGGCGTCAGAGGGATGGGGCGCTGAACCTGAAGAGAGAAACGAGGAGAGGGGTGAGAAGAATGGGGCTTATTCAATAAAACCCTCCGGGACCCTTGAGGCGAGGGGGCCTAGACCAGGGACGGAGGTGGCCCTTCAATTTCCAAAAGAGGGAAATGAGCTTCGCAAGTTGCAAAGAGGATTTAAGCTTCAAAACAGACCTGCCAGCCCAAAGGTGAGCACTGTGGGACACCCCAAAATATAAGCAGTGGCCATCCTGGAACGCATCAGCATAGTTCCCCAAACTGTGGGATGTGTACCAAGAACAGCACATGCAATAATTCAAATGGTGAACACATGGATGGTGTAAAATCTAAATGTCAAAATGGTGGTATGTGAATAGATATTTTATAGGCCATCTGCATTGAACAGTTACATATTCTTATAATAGTTATTTAATAGTACTTAATTTAATGTAATTAATAGTATCTAATAGTTAGTGTATTACAAAAACTTCTCCAGCTAACACTTATACTTCCACAAATATTAGTGCTTAGGATAAAGCTAGGCTGATATATGGTAAAAGCCTTGACCATGGTACAATGTGAGGTGACACGCATGCCATGGCGGCTGACCTCAGGGAACCCCTTCCAGAACGGTTCGTATATCAGCAGGCAGGGTGCAGTTACCTCCGGCACTGCCCAAGGGTGAGGGACTTTGCTTGCCTGGTCGTTGTAGCCCATCAGGGCCCGGCGGCTGTTCTTGGGACCCAGGAACCGATTCACCAGCATGGTCCACCCGAGAGAGAAATGGAACTCAATGTCCTCCTGGAAGTCAGCACACAGCTTGTCGCAGTTCAGGTCGTAGCTGAGGGAGAAGCACTGCCGAGGGACCAGCATGTCGATCTGACTCCGCACAGAGGCAGGAAGGAGAGGTTTCAAGCCGTCTGCAGAAAGGGAAATGGGGAGAAAGCACATCAGCTCCACTGTGTGCCACCCCAGTGCCAAGCCTCAGAACGGGCCAAGCCAGCTACGGCCAAGGACGCTGATGGTTCTGCCCGGAAACCAGCCCTGGATGAGTGGGCCTGAGGGGCTGGAGTGCCGCACTCAGGGCAGGCAGGCCAGCTCTCCCAGGGGTATGCAGATGTAGGCTCCACCCCTGTGACATTTATGCCTCGTGTGGTTTAAGGAGCAGGCCACACTCTCCGCCTGTGACAGTCCCATGTGGTAACACAAGACGGCTCCGAAGTCTAGGTGTGGAGTGAACCTACAACACATTCCCAGAACCTGAAGGTATCAAGTTGACTCATCATAAAAGGTGACAGATAAGAAAGGTCATTTTTGGGCCGGCCAAGTGGCGCAATGGTTAAGAACTGGCTTGGGACGCCAGAGGGCCGCCCGGTTGGGATCCCACATATGAGGGCCAGTGACACTGCCCTCCACAGCTAAGATGCTGAACAACAGCTCAACCTGGAGCTGGGTTGCCGTGAGTCGCCGGCGATGGCGTAGGCCGCAGCCCCTGCTGCAGTGGGTTGCCATGGGCTACCGTGTGTAGCCAGCAGCCAGCGTGAGCGGCCAGCAGCCGCAGTGAGCAGCCGTCCAGAAGCCGGCGACTGATCTGCCTCGCCCGGGAAGAGCGCAATGATGGTGCCAACTTGGGCCAGTGAAGCAACGTCCTCTACAACTAAACTGAAGAACAAAACGACAGCAACTTGTCTGTTCCCCTTCCCCCAATTCCCCAGCACTGTTCCCATCCCCCCAATTCCCCAATAAAAATCTTAAAAAAAAGAAAGGTCATTTTCTCTGTAGCCTGGCCTCCGAAGCTGAGCTCTGGGCAGCCCAGAGCCGAGGCCCCCAGTTCCCCTGCCACACTGACCTATCATCTCCTGCTGCATGGTTTGCAGGGAGCTGGTGATGCCCGTGGAGCAGCGGTCAGACATATTTCGGCCCAGTCCTTCCTCTATATGGCGGTGTAGTTCCTGCAACCAGATGAGAGAGGTTGAGAGAAGCAGCACCCCCAGTCAGGAGTTCCTGCTGGGGAGCCAAGGGACAAGGAGACACAAGGCTGGTCGGCCCACGCCCACCAGTGACCAAGGAGAGCTGAGTAAGGCCTGGGTCTCATCTCCCTGGCCGTGGGGCCCTGACACAGACCCGCAGGGACTTCACTGCTGTTTGCTTAGAGATTCTACCCAGTAACCAAAAGGAATGAGCACCTGCTGCTTAACAACTTACGTTCTTATAAACCTTGAGGACGACTGGAGAAGGGTGGAAATCCATCTGGTAGTCATCCACCAGCACAGAGAGGCGCCTGATCTCCTCGGCCATCGCAGTTGACACCTACAGAAGGAAGCACACTGTTAAGCTTCAGCCTAAGGAAGAAGGTGGCTCAAATCCGCAGGAGAGCGCCTAGCAGGTCCTAACAGACTGTACATCCTTCCCCGCGAGCCAGCAGTTTCCTCAGCTCATCCATGGAATTAAAGCTTTGAGGAAGAAGAGATGTGAGAAATTGGCTGACCATGCGCTCATCTAAGGTCTGGAGAAGGCGGTCCCTGAGAGGGACCTGCCCAGGGTCACACAAGGGAACAGTGGTCCAGAGAGGCTCTGCATTCTTGCATCAGGGCCACAGCTTCTTTCTGGAAGGCGGAGGAGCCCCCTACGTGAGCTCTGCTTTTTCACTTTGCCAGCACCCTGGGCTCTACTGAGTCCGACTCTCCCCAAAGGGCTTCCTCCCATTTCTCACCTGCCGCTCGACTTCCTCTGTAATCTGCTTAATCCGTAGTTTGTAATCTTGCGCCAAGAGCTCCAGTTGTTTGTCAATAAATCTCAGGCGCTCTTGCCGCTCTTCGCGCATTTCCAGGCAGTAAACCCTGAGAGAGAGCATTGGTTAGAAGACGCAGGTCCCCACCAGACCAAGCAGAGGAGCAAGAGGGGGTGCCAGAAAGCCTGTGTAGGCTCCAGCTGTGATCTTGGCCATGGCGAACCAGGGGACCTTGGCAGGTTCACGCACAAACCCAGAGGCGTGCACTGCCGCCCCCAGGAACAAGGGAAAAACGGCACCAACCACTCACTCTCAGGTCTTCCATTTGGAAGATGTTGACAGTGGGGAGGGTGCCTTCAGGGGTTTAGAACAAGTTCTGCCAATTAACATAGGAAAAAAAACGCTCAACCTCACTAGTAATCAGGGAAACGAAATTAAAAAGAAGTATTACTCTCTACCAAGAAGCCAGGCAAAAATCACCACATCTGTCATACTGGCGAGGGTCGGGGGAATGGGAGTTCCAGCACATACTCTGGTGAGACTATGAACGGGACTAGATGTTTCAGAAAGCAACAAAGTAAAATTGGCTAATACTGAACATGCATATACCCTAAGAGAACAACTCCTCCTCCAGGAATTAATCCCAGAAAGACTCGCGCAAATGTGCAGGAGGGGACGGGACGCATGAACTGCTGTCCACTGCAGTAGGGTTTGCAATAGGAAAAAAAAAAAGAAATCTAAAATTCAATCAATGGGAAAACGAGCTGCCGTATTTCCCCATGTATACGACGCACGCTTTTTCAAAAATTTTGGGGTCTAAAAACTGGGTGCGTCTTATACAGTGGTTGCAGTTTTTTTACTTGCATTTCCCGCAAGTGATGAGGAGTTGTATGAATTTTATGATGAATAAAACTTGAGTTCAATAACTTTATGTATACATTTTTTTCAAATTTCAGGCCCCAAAATTAAGGTGCTTCTTATACATGGGAGTGTCTTATACATGGGGAAACACGGTATTTTCACAATGGAATACTCTTTAGCAGTTTATAGTCACAAACTCAACTACATGTATCAACAAAAATAAGGGCAAAACCGACGCTGACTGGAAAGAAAAGCTAGGTCTGCACACACGTAGTATGATGCCATATCTGTACATTGAAAGCACACACAAAGCAAAATTACATCTTGTTCAGGATTACGCAAAAAGTACTTTTTAAGGGCCGGCCGAGTGGCTCAGTTGGTTAAGAGCTCGCTCAAGAGTTTGAGCTCTGAGCAACAGCAGTTCGAGTCCAGCCCGAGCTGAGCAGCCGCTGAGCTGCCAATAGGTAGCAAGATGGCTCAGCTAAAAAAAAAAAAAAAAGTACTTTTTAAATGGATGGTAAGACTACACACCAAATTCATGATCATGGTGGCCTCTGAGGAGTGGGCAGAGTGAAATTGGGACAAGGGGCTAAAGAATCAACAGCATTTAACATTTTTTTCTGTTTTACTTTAACTTAAAAATAATATAAAGCAAATATTAACTGTCAATTGTGTGTGGTGGAAGCGAGGTGTTAGCTTTTTCTCTGTACTTTCCTAATTTTAGTATCTCCCCAAAAAAGTTATTAAAAAAAAATGTGTTCTACGTCAGGCTCTGAGGATGGTTGGGGTGCTCAGGGTGGCACTGGGCCAAGGCCTCCCACGTGGGCTTGAGGGGGCGGCATTTCAGAGGTCTGGTGGGACAAACAGACCCCCAATGGCCCCCGCCAGGCTGCTCCATGTGGATCTAACGGGGCCCGGGGCAGGGGACCTGCATGGGCACCCAGAGACTCAGCTCTGTCAGTGGGCTCTGTCCCTGGGCGCGAGCCCAGTAGGGGGTCAGGCGGTCACTTCCCACACTCCCCGCACCTGTCCGAGGTCCCGGTCTTACCGCTGCTCCTGAGCTGCGATGTGCAGAGAGTCCATGATGAGGCGAACGGCCTCCGCGATCTGCTTGGCCCGCACTGTGTGCTGCTCAAATTTGGTCTTCACCGCAGACTGGGAGATGCACTCCTGGAACAGACAAGAAGTGCTGAGGGAGGCCACCAGGGGCCACCAGCCAAGGTCCCGGCTCCGGCTTTCACTGCAAAGGGACATAGCTGGTGACAGCTAAGGAGGCCCAGAACCGCCAGATACCAGAATTAAAGGGCTCACCTCAAACCTCCTCTCAAAATTCTGAAACTCAAGCATCCTCACTTGAAAGCCTTCAGCAAGGGCACCCCCTAGGAGAATTGCACAACATCAGTCCCCAAATAACTTGGCAGCAGAGGAAACGGGTGAAAACCCACACAGCCAAGCAACTGAGCACTGGGCTACACACCGGGAAGCAAACAGCTTCTCACCCAAGGCTCTTCTCACCACCTTGTTCTCACAACTATTTTCTACCAGCTGGCTTAGCACGAGACCAAACGTCTCGAGTATCAGGGAAAAGGAGGAGGCCTGTTCCATCGTCACCTCCTTCGGGCATGCCCTGGGCCTTCTGGATCCTGGCGTTGAGCGCCTCCTTGGCAGATACAAAGAAGATGCGGTCTCCAGCCTGGCCTCGATCCACCACGCTCAGCTCATCCACCAGGAAGCTGGTGCAACGCTCCATGTGCTGCCGCCGCACCTGGAGCCCAAGCAGATGGGTATACGTGACCAGGTGGGGCAGGTGGGCCCTCCTGATGGAGCCTACAGCCCCCAACTGCCTCTTAGCTAAAAAGCAGGCAATAATTCACATGGTTCAGTATTCATAAGGTACAAACACATACACACAGCAAACCATCTGCCACTACCTCCGTGCTCTGGCCACCCAACAGAACCAATATGGTCATGTTTCTTGGGGCATGGCCTGCCAAAGATATTTTATGCATACAGAAGCAGAAATGCTAAAACCGCCTCTTGTTAGAGCCTACACAGGATCTCACTTTGGTACCCCAGAAGGAAAGGAACCGGGGGTCGAGAAACCTAAACCTGAGTTCTGTGCTGACGAGCCCAGTCCTCCCAGGGCCTTGTTTATGAAATGACTGGGCACCGCCCGTCAATCCTGTCCAGCCCTGAAGCCCCAGGGTTCTCCTGCTAGGACTTAAAAATGTAACAGCCTCTTGTGGACACCTGCCACGTGCCAGGTGCTTTTCTCAATGTTAAGAGATTTCATCCCCGCTGTAACTCCTACATCCATCTCACAGGTGAGGAATTTACCAGAAGGGTTAAGGAATTTACCGAAGTCACACTGCCAATGTCAGCCTGCTGACTGCATACTTCATCACCCATGTTACCAACCTATTTCTCCTTTTTCTTTCATTTCACATGTGAACCAATTAATCTTCGTTCCTCTTTTAAACTTCTTTCCTGGATGTTTTCCTAAAGCTGAACCTGTTCTATGATGACTATTTCTTTATGAACCAAAGTGAGTACTGGTCCCAAACAAGGGGGCAGTTAATATGCTGGGGATGCTTTTCAGACCTGGATGAAAACCTTCTGAAGAGTGGCGGGACTGGGGAAGTGAAGGGAGTGTTTTCAAAACTGGCAGACGACCCCACAGCGACCCCAGGGAACACCTGGGGAACCTCTGGTGATGAAACTCCTCCAGAGACGTGAGCCAATGTGGCCCTGGGTAGACACTGGGGTGGCAGACCCCAAACTGCTGCATAAAGAGGCACCAACCTCCTCCATGTACTCCGGCTCCGAGGCGGATGCGTCCCAGCGGTTGTTGAGGATGAAGATGTTGGGGCGGGACAGGCGCTCGCTCACCTTGTGGAAGAACTGCTTTTCCTGGAGGGGAGGCGAAGACCTCAGTGGGCGAGGGGCCGAGCCAGCCAAGGCCCCGGGGGCGTGGGGAAGGTGTGGGAGGGATTACCGTCTGCATCAGGGTGGACTCCGAGTTGGCCACCAGCACAAACACATCAGCGTCCAGGCAAAACTTGTCGATCCAGCTGTCCAGCTCTGTGGTGACATCAATGCCGGGGCTAGAGGTGACAGGGGTAAACCAACATCAGGACACAGACCAGGGGCCCTGCTCCCTGCTTTGACAGACCTGAGGCAGGCAGGCAAGGGAAAAGACAGCCCAAGAGGGGAGAGGGTTCGGGCCTGTCATCCCTTACCGGAGCGGTTTTCACTTTTGCATTTCATAGCATCCCAAATCATCTGAAAAGGCGTTTTCTGTCACATGCGTCTATCACTTTTATGAAGACAATGAATGACTTATAATTTTACTTGGGGACAAACAATTAAGGTGAAGTTTTATATGATGTGAGTCCAACAAGCACCACAATACCGTATTTCTTGGTATAGCTGCAACTTGTCCACAAAGCAGGAGCAAAGTAAAGTGCTCCTTTGGCAGAAATAAAGTACAACACGACTCCTTCCACCCCTCCCCTCCCCCCACACACACTAACACTGGGTTGAGGCTTTGACCACCCCTCCTATCCCTCTTTACAGACTACCATGGGGCATCTTCAGGGCACTGAGGCCAATAGGTACAGTAAATCCAAGAGGCAAGAAGATTTGGTGGAGCCAGTCTGAAAGGCAGTAGTATGTAAGCAGAGCAACGACAGGGCCCAGGCACACTGGCCTGGGTGACCCAGAGGAGGAACACTTGGTGCCCTCTCGTTTGGCCCTCCCAGGGAGGCACCTTCCCTCGTACCTGTCCATCAGCACGAGGTCATCCTTCAGCAGTGAGCACTTGGAGTTGGGCCACATCACACTCACCAGGCTGCCGGCGTGCAGCTGCTCGTCCTGGTGGAGGGCATGGGCCAGCTGGTTCACGGTCTGGTGGGGAGGAGGGACAGAAAGCTCAGGGCTGAGGGCGAGCCACCAGCCAGGCCCTGTGCCGCCTGGCACGGCACAGTGGCCTGAGACTGCTGCCCAAGGGGCTACCCCTTTTCCTTCGTTTCACCCGTGAAAAGAAAAGAGTCCGGAGCTGCCAGTAACAACCAACTCTTCACTCCTCTTTTAAGCTGCGCTCTTGGACATTGTCCGAAAGGTGACGGTGTCCCACATTAGGTCTTTATGAGCCGAAATGAGCATCTGGCCCAAATGAGAATACAACTGGCTCTCAGAAAAATGAAAATGTGCAAGCCCCTAGCTGCTATGTCAGAATCACAGAGCAAATGCAGGACTCGCACTCTGGTGACACCCCCAGAAAGACCAAGGCAGATACTCCCTTCACTGCGAGGACGGAAGTCCAACGGCCCACTTGGCAATGCACGAGGGGCTGAAGGCTCCTGGCTCCTGGTGCCCCAGGTTTCAGACCCTCCCTGAAGCTCTCGCTCCTCCTAACAGCTAGGCTACAACAGGGCTGCCCATGCTCCTCCACCGGGGCACTGTCCTCTTCTCAGGTGCCACCAGTCCCCTCAGAGTGGACGCGCTGGTGCTCGGGCTGAAAGGTCGGTCCCCGTCCCAGTCCCCGCCACGGCACCCTCACCTTGATGCTCCTCTTCTCCTCGGAGCCCTCCGTGAGGAGGAAGGCCTCGTGGCCGTCGGTGCCCTCCACCCGCAGGAAGCAGTTGGTGGTGTGGCCGATCCCTGAGGGCAGCACCTTGTCCCAGAGCATGGCGTTGATCACGGTGCTCTTACCATTGCTCGTCCTGCGAGGAAACACCGGCTGTCAGGGAAGCCGCCCACAGCTGCACCTGGGCCTTCGCAACGAAGCTACCAACCCAGAAGTCCAAACAAAGTCTCGTTCTCTGCAGGGACGCCAGTGCCCAGCCAGGAAGAGTGCGTGCTCTAAAGTTTATGAAAATGGACAAACAAACGCCTGCAGCCCATGCCTGCAAGGTGCTCCTGATTCATCACCACAAACAGCATGCTGACATTTAACACTTCCTTAAACAGGCCTGCCACCAACCGTCCACCTCTCAGCATCACATATGGAGACCACCTGAAGGAGACCCACTCCTACTTAAACCACTGACACTCCCGGGGTGTCTTCCTCAGTCTACTGACCTCAGCTGCTTTTCCACACAAGGCCTGTGGTGCTGCTCTTCCATCGTGCTCCACCTCACACATCAAGCCCCACCCCGTCCGTCCAGCCGGCAACTGCCAGCTACAGAGGAGACTGCTGTGGCACTGTCCACCATGCCCCTTTTCTAGATTCTGGTGCTTAAAAACAGCTCTACTCAGCACACTCATGCTCTGGCTGCTAGCTCACCGGAAGTGAGGGCCACACCTCTAAGGTGGGGATGAAGAAATGACAGCCACACCTGAGGTGATTGTCATTAGGGCCAGGACGCAAGGCAGAGTGCCTACTCCTCAGGCTGCTACTGTGTGCTGCATCCAACCCGTCTGGGGGCGTTTTCCTTCCTGGATGGGATTTTAATTTTTTCTAAGATGCCGTGATATAAGAAATTTATTTAGTCCTTGCCCCCAGTTCCTGGCACAGAGCTGCTATAACCCCTGGAATTTCCTGAATGATAGAAATGTCTTTTGTCATTCACAAGGAGTCCCATTTGAGCACACCTATTTATGCTAATAAGGTGACCCAGGGTGGGCTCCCCAGATAGTCTCAAGGTGGCTGATCACCAAAACAAGCAAGTGATCAGAGGGTGGGAACTTTCAGCCCCAACCACCAACCTCTGGGATTAGGGAGAAGGGGGTTGCAAATTAAGCCCCATAAAAACTCTTGAACAATGAGATGTGATGAACTTCCAGGGTACAGGAGGCATCCCCATTCCCCGGGGACAGAAGCTCCGCACTCAGCACCCCCCGAGTCCTGGCCTTTTGTGCCTCTGCATCTGGTGGTTGGTCTGTATCCTCTATAGCAATGCCCTTTATAATAAACCAGTGAACATAAGTGAATGTTCCCCTGAGCTTTGGGAGCCGCTCTAGCCAATTAATCGAACGTGAGAAGGCGGTCCTGGGAACCTCCGATTCATGGCCATTTAATCCGAAGCACAGGTTTCTGAATGGTGTCTGAAGTGGGGGCAGTCTTGTGGGACCGAGCTCTTACCTGTGTCCAGGTAGACAGTGTCAGAACTGAGATCAATTAGTAGGACACCATCAGTGTCCGCTGAGAACTGAATTGCTAGGGGGTGTGGAAAACATTCCAGAGGTGCTGCTGGACTTCAAAGTAACAAGAAGGGGACCTGACGGCTAAATCTATAACACTCTTGAAGAAAACACAGGGGATGCTGCATGACATTGGATTTGGCAATTTCTTAGATGTGACAACAAAAGTATAAATAGATAAATTGGACTGTCAAAATAAAGAACTTCTGTGTATCAAAGAATAGTCGTCAGGGGCCGGCCGAGTGGCACGATGGTTAAGAGCTGGCTTGGGATACCAGAGGGCCCCGGTTCGGATCCCACATATGAGAGCCAGTGACACTGCCCTCCACAGCTAAGATGCTGAACAACAGCTCAACCTGGAGCTGGGCTGCCGTGAGGACGGCGTAGGCTGCAGTCCCTGTGGCAGTGGGTTGCCATGGGCTACCGTATGTCGCCAGCAGCCAGCGTGAGCGGCCAGCAGCCGCAGTGAGCGGCCGTCCAGAAGCCGTTGACTGATGTGCCTCGCCCGGGAAGAGCGCAATGGTGGTGCCAACTTGGGCCAGTGAAGCAACGTCCTCCACAACTAGACTGAAGAACAAAAGGACAGCAACTTGTCTGTTCCCATTCCCCCAATTCCCCGGCGCTGTTCCCATCCCCCCAATTCCCCAATAAAAATCTGTAAAAAAAAATAAAAATAAAAATGGGCAAAGGACGTAAATAGGCATTTCTCCAAAGAAGACATCCAAATGGCCAATAAGCACATGGAACAATGCTCCATATCACTAATCCCCAGGGAAACGCAAATAAAAACCACAATGAGATAGCACCTCACACCCGTTAGGATGGCTACTAACAAGTGTCGGGAGGATGTGGAGAAACTGGAGCCCTTGCACACTGCTGGTGAGGATATAAAGTGATATAACCGCTGTGGAAAATATGGTGGTTCCTCAAAAGTAAAAATAGAACTACCATATGATCCAGCAATTCTACTTCTGGCTATATACCCAAAATAATTAAAAGTCGGGTCTCAAACAGATATTTGTAATCCCATGTTCAGAGTGGCATTCTTCACAATAGCCAAAAAAGTGGAAGCAACCCTCATGTCCATTGTGGATAAATGGATGAACAAGATATGGTCTCTCCATACAATGGAATATTACTCAGCCTTAAAAAGGAAGGAGATTTGGACACACACTACTACATGGATGAACCTCGAGGACATTATGCTAAGTGAAATAAGCCGATCACAAAGAGACAAATACTGCACGATTCCACTTATATGAGGTTCCTAGAGTAGTCAGATTGATAGAGACAGAAGGTAGAATGGCGGCTGCCAGGGCTGGGGGGAGGGGAATGGGGAATTGTTTAATGGGGACAGGGTTTCCGTTGCACAACAATGTACGTGTATTTAACACCACTGAGCTGTACACCTAAGAATGGCTACGATGCTCATCTATGGACAGTCTCCGTGCTTGCTGCAGAAGGATGACCAGAGACATTCCAGCTGCAGATCAGGGGAGTCTATGAGGCCGTCACTGCCTGCCTCCCTCCACCTGAAGATGGTTCGAGACAGATGGCTAGAAATCTTCCCGACTGCCTGCCTTCAGAACTCAGAAAGTGGGATTATAGTCGGCTTCGATCATTAACCTTTCTTTTTCCCGTTTCCATAGAGATGCCTCCTATTAAATACCTGACTGCTTGTACCACCACAGGCTTTACTTAGAGAGCCCACCAGCATCGCTGCCTCCTGAAAGGAGACAAACTATTTGACCGAACTGAACTTTTCCCAAGACTGAGACTGATTTAATGATAGAAAGGTCTACCACTGCTTCTGGAAGGTGAAACTTCTAGGGAAGTTTCAGAGGAACCTGTGGGGGTTCAGAACAAGTCACTCCAAACTGTGCCTCAGTGGTACGCAGATTACTTTGAGCTAACAGCAATTTTAGCTTCAGGCTCAAGAGAAACTTCCGCCCTTCCTATCTACAGCGCAGAGCAAGCTTCTAGTTACTATGCCTGTTCTTATCTTCCTGCAAAGACCCTCTGAAGCCCCCAGGGTGCATTACCTCATCCCTAGCTCAGGAGCACTTATATGCCCCTCGGGCCCCCTTTCTGAGCCTGAACCTCTCATGCATGTGGGGTCTCTCACTCTCTCCTGTATGCGGGGTTCCCATACACATGTATGTATTAAATTTGGTTATTTTCTCTTGCTAAAAAAAAAAAAAAAAAGAATGGTTACCATGGTAAATTTTGTTATGTGTATTTTACTGTAAGTAAAAATAATAGATGAGAGGAGCGCCTTGGGGCGCCCAGACTGTGATCCTGCACCAAGTGCCTCCCCCGCTCCCTTCCAGCCAAGGAGAAAGAAGGTAAGAGGCCTTCCGGGACTCACCGGCCAAAAAAGGCTACTTTCATGTGCCGCCGGGCCAGCACCTCGCTGATGCCCCTCACTTTGGACAGGTAACCTTTGACATCCAGAACCTGCTCTTCTGTCGTCACAGGGTCCAGTTCTGCATTCCTGTAGGTGTCTGGAGGTGGACATTGAAAATGGGTCAACACCTGGTCTAAGGCGTTCCAGGCACAGGGCTGGAAGGGGCAGAGTTCACCTCCGGGCTCCCTTCAGTCCAGCTGCCCTCCAGTGGCGCCGACGGGCAGCAGTAAGATCATGGCTCTCAGAGCAAGACTCTCCACCAGGGTTCCAGTGCAGGCGAGGACGTGCTGGCTCTTACCCCTTCCTAGCTTCGTGACCTCAGACAAAACTTCCTGGCTCTTCGTTTCCTCACCCTTAAAATGCAGGTAACAGTACCTACCCCATGTTGACTGTTGCAAGGATTAAATGAATTGAGACACAAAAAGTGCTAAAAATGGTGGCTGGTGCTTGGTAAATACTCGAATGTTAACTGCCATCATTTATTTTTATGTTTTTTACTTAACACATACCTACACAGTTCTCACTACGTGCCAGGCACTGTTCTGATCACGTTTCAAACATGGTATCATTTCCCAGTCACAGTTAGTAAGTGGCAGAGTCGGGACAGGGACCAGGCGTCTGGCTCGACGTCCTGGCTCTTCCCCACCCTGCGCACCTTCCCGGGGCCCCTCCTGCTCCAGCCAGGCCTCTTGCCATCCCGCTGCCTCACATTCCACCTCTCCGTGTCCCCACACTCCCCACAAGCTGCTTCATTACTCTGGGCTTTGCTCAGTGCTGCCCCAGGCCCCACTCTGAAGAATGAACGCATGACCTTGGGGCCCTGTGGCTCAGCCCCTCAGCTTCCCAGGTCTAGCTCGGACTGCACAGCCCCAGGAAGCCTTCCCTGACCCCCCCAACCTGAGTCAGACCCCCTCGTCCATGTTCCCACAGCACCCTGTACTTCTCCCATCTCAGCACTTGCCTCCCCAAAGTGTAACCCCCAAGCTTACCTTCTGCATCATCTACCAGGTGAGGGCCAAACTGTCTGATCCCAGCACCCGCGCTCAGCAGGTGTGCAATGTCTGCTAAGCGAACAGGTCCTGGGATCACTGCGCTGCTTTCCCCCAGAGCCCCTAACAGGCAGACGGATAACAAATTATGAGATAGGAGCAACGGAGCAAGATCCTGCCCCACCCCGTCTAGTGCCTGTACCAAGAAGATGCATCAGCTGGCTGCAGCGGAGCTGGGAGTTTGGCCCTCAGCACACGCTTGCTGCAATGGACTAAGTGCCAATGTCCCCCGTGTGATGTGTGTGGTGTGATGGCAAAAGGAGGCAGGGCCTTAGGGAGGTCATAACGGTGCGGCCCTCGTGATTGGGGTCAGTGACCTTACAAGAGACCCCAGAGAGCTAGCCAGCCTTCCCGCCATGTGGTTACATGTAAGTTACAGAGAAAAGACAGCAACAGTCTAGGAAGTTAGCCCTCATCACACATCAAGTCGGCCGATGCCCTGACCTCGGACTTCCCAGCCTCCAGAACTGTGAGGACTGAATTTGTTGTTTATAAGCCACCCAGCCTATGGTATTTCTATAGCAGCCCAAACAGACCAAGACACTTGTGAACCACTGGGCTGACAGGCCCCAGCCCTGAGAACATTCCAGAGACGGCCCAGTGAGTTTCTCCTACAGCCAGTGCCATGAAAGGAAGTGGCCAAACCAACAAGTCCTCCCCATGTCCACTGGTCACCCTGCCTCAGACCCATTTATACGGACATGTGGGCCTCACCTTTGGAATGTACCTCAGAGGAAGCTGGCTCTCAAGCAAGTGGCTACATTTAAAAGAAAACGCACAAACTCTCGGTCCCAAGGCAGTGACTAGCCCTCCCCCAGCGGGGCAATCCCAAACATCTCAGGATCGCCCCAGCTCTTTCCTTTCCAGGCCACCAACAGGAGAGGCCTCATACCGTGTCCCAGAAAGAGAAATACAAACACCCCTCCCGACGCCATCACATAAACACCTTCATTAGGCACGTGTCTGTCCACAGCACCGTCTGAGCCAGTGACTCAGAAGGTTGGCCTGGGCTCTGGGAGGACAGTGGCCTGGCTCTCCCATCCCTGCATGCCCCGTGCCAGGCACACCAGGGCTACTGCTAAATAAGCAGGTAATGCTGGAATAATGTCAACCAACAACCTTGTAAGTTTAAAATTCAGATTTTTAAAGCTAACAGGTATTTAGGGAGTGCTTTCTCTTGTATCAAGCACCATGCTAAAGACAGGTCATAAATAGTTGTTCTTAGTCTTAGTCTATTTGGGCTGCTAGAACAGTACCACAGACTGGGTGGCTTATACAACACAGAAATGGACTGTCGCAGTGCTGGTGGCCGGAAGTCGCAGATCATGGTGCCAGCCTGGTTGGGTGAGGGCCATCTTCCAGGTCACAGGTTTCTCGTTGTATCCTCGCCTGGTAGAAGGGGGCTAGAGAGCTTTGTGGGCCTCTTTTATTAGAGCACAAATCTCATTTATGAGGGCTCCACCCTCATGACCTAATCACCTCCCAATGGCCCACCTCCTAACACCATCACATTGGGCTGTGGGATTCCAACATGTGAAATTTGGGGGGACATAGACATTCAGACCATAGTACTGGACATAGTCCCTTTAAGTAGCAGCCTAACAGGGCCGGCCGAGTGGCACATTGGTTAAGAGCTGGCTTGGGACACCAGAGGGCCCCGGTTTGGATCCCACATATGAGAGCCAGTGACACTGCCCTCCACAGCTAAGATGCTGAACAACAGCTCAACCTGGAGCTGGGCTGCCGTGAGTTCGCCAGCGACGGCGTGGGCTACAGCCCCTGCTGCAGTGGGTTGCCATGGGCTACTGTGTGTGGCCAGCAGCCAGTGTGAGCGGCCAGCAGCCGCCCTGAGCGGCCAGCAGCCAGCGTGAGCGGCCAGCAGCCGCCCTGAGCGGCCGTCCAGAAGCCGGCGACTGATCTGCCTCGCCCAGGAAGAGCGCAATGATGGTGCCAACTTGGGCCAGTGAAGCAATTCCTCCACAACTAGACTGAAGAACAAAAGGACAGCAACTTGTCTGTTCCCCTTCCCCAATTCCGCAGTGCTATTCCCATCCCCCAATTCCCCAATAAAAATCTTAAAAAAAAAAAAAAAGTAGCAGCCTAACATGTCTACCAAGCAGAAGCCAAGCCAGAGAGTGGAGAGAAGTGTATCCCAGGGCATTTCCACTGTACTTCCAGGGTTCTGCAGGCTGAAAACCCCTGGCCTCGCCTGAGCCCCTCTTTTGTAAGTGAGAAAAGCAAGGGCAGGTAAGCCTCCGCTACTGGGACTTCACTGACAATCCCAGGACATGAAGCCAGGGTGTGCCTGTTAGAGAAGGAGCCTGAGAAAGCCAGGGGCTGGAGCTGGCGCTCAGACTGAGCAGGGCTCCGGGAACCAGTCCTTCTCTGCAGACAGAGCAGAAACTACAGGGTGGGGCTCAAATTAGTAACTAATGGAAAAGGTGCCAGTGATGCAAGTTTCCTATTCATAGTCCTGTTGTCTAAAAATATCAGAGAAAGAACACCCTGGTCTGGGACAACCAGCACCCAGACAGGGCCAAGTCTTAACAGCAGCCAGAACTGGGCCAAGGGGAACACCTGGGCCTGGAGTCAGAGACACCTGGGAAAAGCCCCGCGTCACTTACAAAGTGTCAATCAACTCTCAAAGCCTCAACCTGCCTGTCTTGTAGGTGGAGATAAGACTCATCTATCCCTCGTGATTAAATGAAACAGAATACACAGAATTAGTAAATGACAGATCCCTTGTTTTCCTGGCCAATCTCCCTGGAGCCCAACTCCCCATGATTCGAAGAGCAGAACCCTGCTGAAGGTGACCACCCACCTGGGTATGCGCTCCCCAAGAGCAGGGCGGTACCCGCCCACCCCCAAATCCTGCCACCTAAATATGAGAGCTGACAGGAGTCGGCCTGGCCCAGCAGGTTACCTAGCTCACCTTCCAGGAAGGTAGCGCTCTCTTGGATGTAGGCTCCCAGCTGCTCAAAAATGCCATTGATCTTCTTCTTGGCAGTGACAAAATGCTTGAGTGGGGAAGCATTCACCTCAGCCATGTGTCGCTTATCCTTCTTGACCGTGACAACGGAGTTGCATCGAGAGAAGAATAGGGACATTGCGCTGCAAGAGAAGACAAAATGAGCCAACCCAGGAACGCCCAGCTCGGGACATTCTGCTGGGGGTACAGCAGGGTGCAGCAGGGGGAGCTGGGACCAGCCCCGAGTCCTTCAAGAACATGGGGCTCTCCAGGACTAGATCAGGGGCGGTGAAATAAAAACCAGCGCCTCAAGAGTAGGAAAGGAGCTCTCAGAACACCGATGCCAGTCTCCCTGTCACACAGCATGGGCACTCAGACCGCTGGATGTACCTCGCCTGTTGAACAGTGACAGGCCCTGCCTTCCCCACCTCAGAGAGACAGAGAGGAATCGCGAGGTAAGCGAGAGAAGCCCTCTCTGTGTCTTAGGAAGAAAAGCGTGACAGAAATCGCGCATTTATCTCCTATACATCACCCATCTGAGAAGAAGCGCTGAATATTGAAAGCAAAGCAAAGTGATGCTCAAGGTCAGTGACTCCCGCCACCCTGCCCTGGCCACTCTGCCGTCCAGGCTCTGATGGCCCTAATTTCTAACAGGTTTTGGTTTTGGGGCTTGTTTGTTTGGGGGGAGGGTGGACAAGAAAAGATGATCCTCCAGTGAGAGGTCTACAATTTACTTAAAAACATTTATTGGCGCCTCTCATTATCAATGTGTGCACAGTTGAAAATGTGGGGACTAGCGGTAAAAAACCCATAACCCCATGTGAATGAAAGAGGAGCTGTGCAGTAACTCTGACCAGCTCCATGACTGAGAGTAGCCTCACAGGGTGATGATCCGATGATAAACTCCTAACTGGGCAGGTCACCGTGGGCAGTCAAGCCCCAGACCTATAACTGCCTTAGTAAAAGGTTAATCTTTGCCTTAACCTTTTGTTCTTGGGCTTCCAGGTTAAGCATACCTTTGAAATGCCGGAGTGATCCTTTTCCAGACCTCTTGGAGGCATAACCACCCTCATGGGAGCATGTGATCTTGTTGTCCATGTACCATCTCTATTCACTATGAACGTTAACTACCCTGTACCCATCAATGTAAAAGCAGCACCATATTTTGCCATTAATAATGCACTCCCATGTATAAACACACTTTTTTTTTTTTTTTTAGCTGAGCCTTCCTGCCACCTATTGGCAGCTTAGCGGCTGCTCAGCTCGGGCTGGCCTCGAACTGCTGTTGCTCAGAGCTCAAACTCTTGAGCGAGCTCTTAACCAACTGAGGCATTCGGCCGGCCCAATGCACTCCCATGTATAATGCTCACCCACATTTCTGGCCCAAACTTTTAGGGAAAAAATCTTTCGTTTTAATTTTTTAATTCAAATATTTATTTGTTTACATTCTGTATTATAAAGGAATGTTAGCATTTATTTTTTAACATATTATAGTACAAGAAATTTTATGTCACAAATAATTACAAAACACAAGAACAGATACAAGGTACAAGAAATTTTATGTACCAGTAACAAATTTACGATATTTACGAATCACAGAAGGCCAAGAACTCTTCGTTGCAAGTTTGTCATAAGTTCAACAAAACCAATCATCGTATTCCCAGGGTATTATTTTGCATACGAATATCGTTATTGATTTCTAGAGTTACACTTTAACTCATAAGCATGAAGTAATTAAAAACATTTATATAAATATGGAATTAGTACTACCCATGTCTAACATAATGCACATCCTTACTTTTTCCTCACAAATTTGGGCAAAAAAGTGCATATTATACATGGCAAAATACAGTGTGTATCTCTCCATTTTACTTTTTAACTAATCAGATTTCCTGGCTTTGCTTTTCTCACCTCCTTAATCTACCATCTCCAGTGGATTTCATGTAATTGTCCCTATGGTCCCTCCTTTGATTCCAAATGCAAAAAAAGAACTGCAAAACTATCCTTCTCCACAGCATTTTCCCAACCAGCATTTTCTCAATCTTGCTTCCAGGCATGTCCTCATCCTCAGTTTGGCTCAAATAAATTCTAATAAATAAACTCTTGTAAATTTTTTCTACAGGTTTGGAAGTTCTTACGTCGACACCACCATCCTGTGATAAGCACTGTTAACAATTGTTTATCATCACAGCCTGTTTCTGTGTGGGTAGGTCTCTTGTTCTCTCACTCAGTCACACACACACACACACACACACATCATTGTAGCTTATTTTTTTCATAGTATTGTAACATGTTAGGGGGCACAATGCTGATTCCAAAGTCCTAGAGATCTTTGGTCAAAGTCAAAAGGGGCAGACAGGCTGGAGAAGGTGGCCCCCAGATGTGGCTGGGAATCTCTGGTCCCTTTCAAAAGCGGACTACTCCTTGGGGGGAGAGTGTGGCGGTAGATTGGGGGAGGGGTGTTGTCGCTTGGTGAGGGGTGAAGAGTAGAGCTATTGTACTGTTTTGTACACCTGAAACTAATAAAAAATAAAAATTAAAAAATTAAAAATAAATTTTAAAAAAAAAGTGGACTGCTCCTCAGAGATCCCACCACGCAGAGCTACTTCCCCAACAGAGCCCTCAGATCCTGGGGATCAAAGGGAAAAGACCCCTCCAAGGATGAGACATAGTGTGTGCCTGGCTCTACCCTCTCCAACACCCAGCAAATTCCTGTCGGCCACTCCCTCTCCAGCAGCCCTAATCACAAGGCCATCAGCTCTCCACCCAACCAAGCCCCAGCTCTCTACCAGGGAAAGGAGAAGGCGTTGCTCTTTCAAAGGGTGCCAAAGGGCGTGGAACAAGCTCCTGAGAAGCAGAAAATACATCTAGAAAAAGGAGGTTTAGCATAATTGAAAGCGGGCTCTTGTAAACTAACCATCCCAAAGAGTGGCAGAAAGAGACTCACAGGGAAATGGGAACCCACGTGTTTTGCCTACACCTACCAATTATTTTGTGATGTTAATGATTTTAAGCTTAATGATACAGAAGTGAACTACCTTCCTCCTCAATAAAACGCCACAACTCTGAGAGGGATTTTCTGAGCATGGAGGCCACATGTTAAGGGCTAAAATAAGAAAGACAGCAGAGCTCTGAGAAGGGATACAGGGAAGAAAATACCACTGACTCCTCCCAAGCAGGAATTTTTATAAAATTCTCTTTAAAAACACACACACACACATGAAACAAACGAACAAAAAATCGTGCTTGTACTATTGATTCTGGGCTGTATAAACTTGAGCAGGTGATTTAACCACAGAGCCTTGGATTCCTTGTGTGAACAAATGTGATGTCACATGGACTGTGAGAAGACTAAGGATGACAGCAGAAACTCAAAGGGATCTTTACAGGTTATAAAGCGAAGACAACAAACTCCACCAGCAAGATCACAACACCCAGCCTGCAGGGAAGAGCAGAGGCAACTCCACCAACACACGCACAGCTCCCCCAGCCGCTGCCATGAGGACGGAAGAAACAGGTCTGCTCAGGGGTGAGATCAGCAGTGTCCAGACCCACAAGTGACCTGCTTGCCGGCTGCAAGTTTGCCGAGATCAGCTGGGCTTTTAGAAGCAAGTGCTTTCCAGCTCTGGTCATTGTTTGCAAACCCAAAGGATATGAAACCAAAATCGTTAGTGTTCAATACATGCAAGACTCAAAGGCATGCACACTAGTAAAAGCTTAGTCTGCTAGGCCTTCAGCTTGTCCAGGAGCTGGGCTGTTCTCCCCGTTCCCCAGCTTGCAGCTGCATGCCCCAAACCTCTCATGTGGAAACGCTCACGAGAAACCTCCCACGTGGAACCTCCAACCCCTCCAAACTCTCTATTTCTCTGGCTCTGTTAATTGTTTGTGCTGCACATGATGCTTTCAGCCTAGAATCCTCTCCTTTTTCACCCTTTTGACTCCTACTGTCCTTCTAGACCCAACTCTAGTGTCACCCTCCAGGGATCCTTCCCGGAGGTCTCCATGGTGGCCACACCACCTTACCAAGCTTTTTGGTTGTTTACCACTCTGTCTCCCTGTGAGCTTCTAGAAAGCCAGTCTCTGACACAAAGCACTGACCTATTTCCATTCCTACTTTCCTCCTCCACAACTATGAGAGACATGGTTTGTGTTAGTAAATATGCCTTAAGGGAAGTACCTTCCTACCCTTCCATCCCTGAAAAACACAAATCTACTTTTTTCTTAAAAAGCAGTGTTTGGCTTAACTTCTGTTTCTTATTATTTAGAGCTCAGTGAGTCAAGAGCTGAACAAACCTTTCAGATTTCAGGATTTAATCCTTCCAAAGAGCAAGTTGGATGTACACAGGTGCACAAACGAACCAAAGTTGCAAAATACACGCACACCAGCCAAGATAAAGCCACCACTATCTTGGGGCTTCACCTGTTGGCTTCCTAGCCTTCCAGAGTGGTGGGAGGCGGCTGGGTTCCTGTTCCTCCTCTGGAAAGCCCTGATAGTCCCTGCTTTACTGCAGGGTTCACTGCAGGCATGTAGTGCCAGTCCCCCAAGCATAGCTGGGCCAGAGTCGGCTCCAATATCAGCTATACACTAAGTGGCATGTTTTGAGCTATTGTGAGTGTTGCAAAGTGTTCTTGAAGGTCATGGCTTCAGATAGTTTATGGCAGCATTCCCAAAGTGTGGTCCACAGCACTCTAGTGCGCCTAACGTTATATGTAGAATCAATTTTAAAACACTGCTACAGGCCCCCGCCACTGGAGCACAAGGATAGTAAAGACTTTGGGAAGCAAAGCCACTAGTTCAACTGCACTTAATGCAGCCTTTCACAAATTTACCTGAAGAAACCCTTCTTCCATGTAACAATTTTTTAAATCCTGAGGATCACATGATGAGACAAGCCTCATTCATCCTGATAGTCTCCCACTCCCATCCCCAAAATTTCTAGGGGCACAGTATTAACAGATATTAACCTAAGGCAAGAACCAAACCCAATTCTACACTGAAACTATTAGCACTCCAAAGTAATCAAAAGCTTTGCCTCAACCTAAGCCATTAGTTGCGAAGTGTTAGGTGTCTTGGGCATAGGGAGAGCAGTAGCAAAATTCACCGCAAGGTGTTTGAATCCCAAGCACAGTCCCTGAATCCACACTACCTCCTTACCCAGGTTTATGCACAGCAACTCCTAGCAGGGAAAATAAAACGGATCCACGGATCGTCTGCTGGCACAACTGGAACAGAGGAGATACTGAGAGATTGAAACAAAAGAGTATACAGGATAAAGGGGGCAGAGCCGACTCTTAGGAAAGATGTGATAAGGAGCCAATCTCTGCTGGGCAGAGAGCAGGAGGGTGGAGCCAGCACAGCAGAGAACAAACGAGAGAGATAGAAACAAATTCTTCAGGGAACCTAGAGATCCCAGCTACTTTCTGAACTGTCAACCTTTAAACAGGCTCTCTCAGCAACCAGTGACGTCCTCCATGGAAGTAGAAAGGAGTTACAGTTTTTTCAACACAGGCTGGAAAACTCCAGCTCTGTGCAAATTTGACCCCATCCAAGAGACTTGCCACTGGATGGCTAACAGAGCACATCCCTTTCCAATCAACCCAGAATCCAGAGTGCCAGGTGTCACAGCCACCACTTACTTTTTGGATGGTGAGAGATCGTCACAGGGTGGGCATCATGGACATAGCTGGAGTCAAAAAGATGAAAGGAATTTGAGCTCTCTGTCCTGTCTCAGGTTGAGGTTGGCTGATTGCATTGACTCCGCCAATTCCAGCTTTGGAAAGAAAAGGGGACATGTCAACACGCAGGAGGAAAAACAACAACTGGTTTGCAAAACATGTCTCATTAGGTATAAAGACAAGTCATCCCTGAGGGGAGCTTACTCATTGAGGTACTGGGGATGTGTGAAGAAGTGCCCTGAGGAAAAAGCACAACACACAGGTGTGGGGCCAAGGCTGGGTGTGCACAAACATGTGTTCTGTCATGTGCTGGTCAGCCGCAAGCTAGTGAAAAGCAGGGGTCCTGGTGAAGGCAAATCCGGAGGGGTAAGAGGAGACAGCAGAACCAGGACAAGAACTGGGCTTGAGAACTGTGGAGCTGAGGAGTAGAAATGTGAGGGTTGGGATGAGAAAGAGAAGTGGAATTTATTGAAAGTCTGTGTGCCAGATACCGTAAAATATCTTAATTCTCAATTCTATGGTGCAACTAGAGGCTTCGAAGACTTAAAAAGATTCACGGACTGCTAGTGAAGTGGCAAAGCTGAGAATTGAGATGTCACCTTCCTTTGATGCCAAAGCTCACTTATTTTCAATTACGTGAAGCTGCCTTAGGAGTGAGAAGGGCGATCATCAGAGCCCTTTCTGGGAGCGGGGGAAAGAAAAATAGAAAAATTAAAGAAATAGGGTAATGAAGGATTACAAGACAGAGAAACAGGCAGATCTGGCTTCATGCAGCCAAACAGTTAATTACTCAGCATTTTCTGCATGCCTTCTCAGTGTGCGCTAGGCCCTAGAGTTAGGGATGGGTAAAAAAAATAGTCCCTGCCCTCAAGGGGCTTACCGTCTGGTTTAAAGTCAAACAAGTAAATAGAGGACTGTACAAGAGCGTAGGACGTGCCCAACGTGGGGTAGGGCAGGGCGCTATGGGGATGAACATGGGCACTTACCATGTGCTGAGTAAATGCAGGCTAATATAAAGGACCGGATAAGAAATAGGGAAACGGCTGGGGTGAAATGTGGCCGTGAAGCCTGGGAAGGCGGGCGCGACCAGGAGCCTCAGGAGAACCCACCCCGAGTCCCGCCCCCTCCTCTCCGGGCTACCGAGGGCCCGGCGGCGAGGCCAGGGCGTGGGGACGCCCACCTGCCCGGATTCGGAGCCCCAAGGGCCCCAGCATCTCACCGGCCCACGCCGGACTGTTCAGGACACGCCGGGCTGGGCCGAGTCAATCAGCACCACCCCGGCGCGCTCGCCCTCTCACCTTCACCTTCCCGGTCTCGCGGCAGCCATCATGCCCCCCAACGTCACCAGCGAGCGCCACCCCGAGGAGAGGCGGGAGGAGTGAAGACGCGCGCGTCACCAGCCACCGCACGTTTGCCGCTCTAGCCCGGGTGAGTCAGAGTCCGAGTTCAGCCGGTTGGTCGCTGTCACTCCTTATGGGTCTGGGGTACGCCTCCTAAACGCCTGGAGAGGCGTCTCAACGCACTCCTGCACCGCCCGGGCGTCCCAAGCCGATGACGTAGATCTCTCGGGACTTCCGCTGCATCGTGGGGCCTGTAGTTCCACCGTGCGCCTGTCACGGCTGGGGTGGGCGGGGCCTCGAGCTGTCAAGGGGCAAAGAAAACAAGGGCGTGGATCAGAGGTTTCTGTTCTATCGTTTCGTGTCCCGGAGTCAGACCCCAAGGCTTCTGCTAGCTCTAGAATCTAAGCTTTCGTTTTGCAATTTTAGAGAAGCACTCTCAACAGGAAGGCAGGAAGCAAGCTTGGGCCTGCTGCCCTTCAATTGACTTTGAGGAAGTAAGAACAGCAGCAACAGTTACTGAGCTGACACTTAACATACCGCATTTTATTTAACCTTCACAACAGTCCCACGAGGCTCAGAGAGATCACCCCAGCTCACACATAGCAGATCACTGGGCCTCCCGTTATGGCCAGGCACTAGGATAGGGCAGTAAATAGATCTGATGGCCCCAGCCACAGCAGGAAGGCCCCAAGTCTGCAGCTCTCCAGCTCAGCAGCTACCAGCCATGTTGCAGCCTTGGAGCCCCCAGTGTGAATTGAAATGTGCTGTAAGACTTAGTACCAAAAAAGAATGTAAACGATCTCAATATTTTTGTATTGATTATGTGTTAAAGTGATGGTATTTTGCATAAATTGAGTTAAATAAAATATATTACTAAAACTAAGCTCACCTGTTTCTTTTTACTGTTTAAAATGTGGCTGCGAAAAAAATACAAAATTATATATGGCTCACTGTAATATTGTGGTTTATAATAAGAAATCCATGTATGTGTTCTTCGTCCACTGTCCCTGGCACATAGTTCCTGAAATCCTTGTAATTTCCTGTTTAAGAGCCATGGGGGCATCTTTTGTTATAATATTTACTTTTGTCCTCAGTTCCTCAAATATTAAATAGCTTAGGAGCTGTTCAGATAAAGGTGAAAGTGGTGTATTTTGTTATTCATAACAAGCCCCTTTCAACTACATCTGAATTTATGTTAATGAGTAATTTTTGGAAGGCCCATAAAGATGGGAGCTGATTGCCAGGAGAAACAACGATGTGATTAGAGGGTTGGAACTTTCAGCCTCATCACCCCCTCAACCTCCTGGGAGGAAAAGAAAAGCTGGACATTGGCTTGATCACTAATAGCCAATGACTTAATCAATCATGCCTAGGTAATGAAGCCTCCATAAAAATCCCTGAACTACAGGATTCAGAAAGCTTCCGAGCTGGTGAACACTTGGAGGTGCTGGAAGGGTGGTCAGTACTCAGAGAGGGCATGGAAAGTCCCACCCCTTCCCACATATCTTGCTGTATGCATCTCTTCCATCTGGCTGTTACTAAATTGTATCCTTTTATAATAAACCAGTAATCTAAGTAAACTGGTTTTTTTTTTTTAGTTCTATGAGTCACTGTAGTATCGGACCCCAGGAGGGGTTAGTAGGAGTCTCTGATATATAACTAATCCGTGTGGGGGAGAAAAAAGTTTCCCTGGGGCCGGCTGAGTGGCACGTTGGTGTTAGGAGTTGGCTTGGGACGCCAGCTATGAGCAGCAGGGCCCCGTTCAGATCCCACATGAGGGTCAGTGACACTGCACCCTCTACAGCTAAGATAGTGAACAAGAACAACAGCTCGACCTAGAGCTGGGCTTCTGTGAGTCACTGGCAACAGCGTAGGCTGCAGTGGGGCTTGCCAATAGCGGGCGTGAGCTTTGGTGAGCTGCTGTGAGCGGCCGTCCAATGGCCGGCAAGTGACTGCCTCACCTGGGAAGAGCACAATGATAATACCAATATGAGCCAGTGAAGTGACATCCTCCACAACTAAACTGAAGAACGAAAGGACAGGAACTGAACTGTTCCCCTTCCCCAATTCCCAAACGCTGTTCTCCTCCCCCAATTCCCCAATAAAATCTTTTAAAAAAAGAAAGAAGTCATTGGGGACCAGATCAGGTGAGTGGTGAGGATGTTCCAATACAGTTATTTGTTTACTGGCTAAAAACTCCCTCACAGACAGTGCCGTGTGAGCTGGTGCATTGTCGTGACACAAGAGCTATGAATTGTTGGTTAAAAGGTCAGGTCGTCTAACTTTTTCATGCAGCATTTTCAGCACTTCCAAATATAAACTTGGTTAACTGTTTGTCCAGTTGGTACAAATTCATAATGAATAATTCCTCTGATATCAAAAAAGGTTAGCAATATTGTTGCAACAAGTTCGCGAACTTGTCAGAACTCGCAAATGCCATCTTGACCCAAGGAGAAGTGGGTGGGGGTTGTGGTTTGGGACTTCAAAGGGCAGGAACGCAATTCTCGTGGAGCTAGAGAAGCAGATGTTTGGTAAGTAAATGTTTGCTTGGTCATAGTTAACAATGGGACACAGAGAAGACCGTTAACCTTGCTACCTTCTTCCCTATCACACCTAGTTCATATTAAACTGTAGTTATCTATGATCATAGCTCCCTTCCTGGAGCAGGTCCTCTATCTAAATTTATTTAGGAGGTTAAAGGGAAGGTCAAAAGTTTCTTTCCGGGCCGGCCGAGCGGCACGATGGTTAAGAACTGGCTTGGGACGCCAGAGGGCCCTGGTTCGGATCCCACATATGAGGGCCAGTGACACTGCCCTCCACAGCTAAGATGCTGAACAACAGCTCAACCTGGACTGGGCTGCCGTGAATCGCTGGCGACGGTGTAGGCTGCAGTCCCTTTGCAGAGGGTTGCCATGGGCTACGGTGTGTAGCCAACAGCCAGCGTGAGCGGCCAGCAGCTGCAGTGAGCAGCCGTCCAGAAGCCGGTGACTGATCTGCCTCGCTGGGGAAGAGTGCAATGATGGTGCCAACTTGGGCCAGTGAAGCAATGTCCTCCACAACTAGACTGAAGAACAAAACGACAGCAACTTGTCTGTTCCCCTTCCCCCAATTCCCCAGCGCTGTTCCCATGTCCCAATTCCCCAATTAAAAAAAAAAAAGTTTATTTCCAAGTCTTTGTTTCTTAAAAATAACCAGTTTAAAATAATCAGTATCCCAAAAGGCATATTTTGGGTGGCAAACTCTGCTTCCCCTTATGGGCCAGAAGCAGGTGACAACCTGGACTTGTGATTAGTGTTTAAAGGGGGTAGGGGCAGTCTTGTGGGACTGAGCCCTTAACCTGTTGGATCTATTGCTATCTCCAGGTAGCGTCCGAATTGAATTAAATTCGTAGGACATCTTTTCGGTGCCTGCTGAGAATCAGAGTTGCTTGATGTGGGAAGAATAAAACCACACACTCGGTGATCAGAAGTGTCAGAAGAGGAGTATCATGTTAAGTGTAAAGGAAACAATAGTGTTTTATACTCGACAGCACTGCTTTTTCACCATGGTAGAATCTTGCCACAAATACTTCAAGAGGCAAACCAGTACCCACTGTATCTACCAGCTTATCAGTTACCAGTGAGGTTGGTTAGCAGAAGCGGTCCATACTGCCCTGAGTGAACTAGTGGCCTCGGGTCCTGAGACTCTGGCCTGTGGGGCGGCACCAGGACGCTGCCTCGGGGTGTGGGCCTGTTCCATGCTGCCTTGTCATGCAGCTGTCTGATGGCTTCCTCCTCTAAGTTCCCTGCCTCCCTAAAGGGACTATCAATTCTGTGAAGACAGGAACTGAATTCATTTCCTTTCCCTTTCTGCAGAATCTTGTCCAAGTCAGGTGGAGAACTAGAGGGCTTCCCTTTGAAACCTCCATCCTGTCCATTCCCTCCTGCGAGCTCTAGGTCCCAGTCACCTGCCTGGGCTGCTGCAGAAGCCCAGAATCCATTTCCAGTCTTCTAGTGTAGCCTCCAACCAGCACCCGAGGTTTCTCTCTGAAACAACTTCAAGTGGTGACGCCCTCAGTGACAGACTCCCCGTTTGGCTGGCAGCATTATTGGGGGGAGGGGGGTAGTGTGCAATTGCAGGAGACCCTTCTGCATTACCTATTTCTATTTTGATGGACTTTTTCACGGTGGATGGGAATTGCATTTGTAATCAGGAAAAGGTAATAGTTAAAAATACCCCTAACACACACACACACACACACACACACACACACACACACATGCCTTATATATGCACACAGATCAACTCAGAAAGGACACTCAAGAAACAGGTAGGCACAATTGCTTCTGGGCATAACTAGGCAGCAGGAGTGAGAGGTGAAAAAGGTTTTAAGATTTGTGCTATTTGCATTTACCATGGGCCAATGTAAAAACAAACAAACAAAAAAACACGAAACTTAAAATTATCTTTAGAACACATATGCAAAACCCCTGAATGACTCCAATTAAATAGATAAAAGTCCAACTCTCCTTAGCCTGGGAAAATGGGCTTTGACAATCTGACCCCTTCCACCCCACCCACACCAGCCAGCCTGCGTTCTCTGACCCCACCTGTCTGTGCCTTCCTGGGCCCAGCTGCCTGACCTGGAGTCTCTGCCGGATGGAAACCTCCTCCCCCTCCAAGACCTGCTTCAAAGGCATCGATCAGGCTTCTGTCTCAGCACTACTCATATTTCGGGCTGAGTAATTCTTTGTTGAGGGGAAGAGCTCATCATAGGATGTTTAGAAGCATCCCTGCCCTCTATTCACTAGTGCCAATTTCTGCGGAATCACTTATGTCTTGTGTGATCTTAGGCCAATTTACTTAATTGACCTCTCTGAGCCTACATTTCCTCATCGATAAAAGGGAAATACAACCTTCCCCCCCCCCCCAGAGCTGTGTGCCGAGTGCCTGACAGGCACAATGCCCAGCCCACACCAAGGGATGGATGTTAGCTTTTTTATTGATAAATGCCCTGACTTGTTGGTGCTATGAGCATCTGTCCAGGGTACAGCGGTGGGGGCGGGGGCGGAGGGGGGAGGCACTGGAAGACCAGAAGTTCTCTGTTCTCCAATGTTCATGTTTGCAGGAAGGGTGGTCAGCAAGGGCATCAGCAAGGAGGTGACACCTCCTGCCAATCTTGACAGATGAAGAAGCACGCCCTAGGCGTTTGGTGCCTGCTCACACATAAGGGCTTACGGAATACAAATGACACGGTTTATGGAATATATAAATGTGTTTGTTTGGGAAACACAAGTCCCTGAGTTGGCTGACACAGACTTTCTTGCCAGTCATGGGCTCTTAAAACTTCTCCCTGCAGACAGTCGCCTCGACACGTGCACACTCACCCACCCAAGCATCTCCCACTCAGTGGTTTGAATGACCTTTAATAGAAGCTCTCCTGTTTCTGACTACCTGTCTTTCTCTCTGGAGGCATCCAGGACAGGGGGACGCAGTGCAGTGTGTGGACATATCACTCACTCCCCCACCCCCTCAAGGGTCAAGTAGAGGGCAGAGCTGTGGCATTGATGCCTTTCCTGTCTTCCAGGTTCTCTGAGTCACTGTCTCCAGGGGACAAGGTTTTGCTCTCATGACAGGAGCCAGGGAAGAAGGGGTTTCGGCAGTCCCAGGGGCAGGGTGGGAACTTGAGTCTGATCAGGTCTCTGTGTCTACCCTGAAGCTCGAAGCGGAAGGTCCTGGGGTGCAGCTCGGCCTGGAAGAAGCTCTGGGGTATGGCTCCGTGCCCCTAGAGTCTCTCCAGGCAGCTGGGTAAGCCCCAGTTCTAATCAAGTCTTGCCCCATGGAAGACGCACAGGAAGAAGGACTGAGTTTTTCAGGAAGACAAATGGGAAAGGATGAGTTAGTTCAACGCAGTGAAAGTGAACAGTATCTCCCAGGGCTGGGTCCAGAGCCCCAGGAAAGCCTCAGTCAAGGAGGTGTGCACACTTCCGGCCTGCAGCCCAATCTCTCAATGATGGCTCCAAGAGCAATGGGAGGTCAAGAGCATGCTTGCTGGACTGAGTTCCCTGGGACTCCGAGGCCTCAGAGGCTGCTGGGCAGTGGTTGTTGGCAAAGAGAAAAAGGTCCAAGGTGTCCCGGCCTGGCCAATTAGGGATCGATGAAGGAGACGGCGATGTAGCGGGTGCCCTTGGTGGTGGGGAGCCCCTCGTGGTAGTGCGTGAGTCGCCCAGGGTGCATGAGTGTCCAGCCCTTCCGTGGGGCTCGGACGGAGCAGTTGTAGCGCAGGAACCGACAGCCCCCACCCTGGGAGACAGAAAGTGTCAATTCCCCAACAGGAAGTATCATTTCCCCACCAAGAAGCTGGGCTCTTCCCTGTGGGCGCCTACACTCCCATCTGAGCCACCGCAGCCAAGCAGCCCTCAGCACAGCCTGCCTGGGATGCCTTGTGGAGGGACAGCTATAAGCTGCCTAAGGAAGATACTCAGCAAAGACCAAGTGGTCAAGAGCACTGACCTTGGCTCAGGCAACCCTGAGCAAACATCGCCTATACCCTTTACTGACTTTGTGACCAACCTGAGCCTGAGTTTCCCGTTCTGGGCATTAAACTGCACAGGGTTGTAAGAATTAAATGAGATGATACAGTAAGAGCTTCGGACCAGGTTTCTCAACCTCAGCAGCACTCTGGACATTTTGGGCCAGGTCATTTTTTTTTAATTGTGGTGAAATACACATAACATAAACTTTGCTACTATAACCATTTTTAAGTGTACTGTTCAGTGGTATTAAGTACATTCATACTATGGGCCAGATAATTCTTTCTTAAGGGGGCTGTCTGGGGACCCCTGGCCTCTACCCACTAGATGCCAGTAGCACCCCCGCAGATGTGACAACTAAAAATGTCTTCAGATATTGCCAATATCCCCTGAGGAGCAGCCAAAATCATCCCCTGTGAGAATCCCTGGTACACTGCAAACTCTCAAAAAAAGATAGGTGTTTTTATGAGTGTCCTTCACAGTGCCTAAGCCAGGACTGAGTCCCAAAAAACTCTTAAAAAATAGTAGCTTATGGAGTGAATGAATGAATGAATGAATGAACGAATGCCTCTGTAGCTGATCACACCTAGAGGCCTCCGTTCAGGTCCGCAGGCCCCCAGAACTGCTCCCTCCTCACCTTCATGTCTTCTTGGTTTCCCCAGATTTCCCCTCCAGCCATAAACCTGCGCTCCACACCCAGACTAACCCTGTCCTGCCATTGCCAAAGCAGGATGATGGGAACCCCAAACTCCTTATTACTAATAGCTGTCATTCCTTGAGTACTTACTATTGGTCCACATGAGCAATCACCTGGATGAGCTCATTTCATTCTCACAACAATTCTGTGCAGGGCACTCTAAGTTTTCCCATCTAAGATAGAGGCTAAGAGACGCGCCTGAGACCCCAGAGCAAGGGCAGAGGCAGGACCCAGGCCCAGGAAGTCTGGCCCCAGGCCTCCTGTGCCCCGGGTCTATTGTGCCCAAAGCCCTCTCCCTCCTGCCACGCTGTGCTCCAGACCCACCTCATCTAGGAAGCCTTGGCCATGGACCTGGCACCCTTTCTCTCTTGTTCGCCAGTTCTCTGGTGCTGGCGTGTCTGGGCACCCCCAGCTTCAACCACCCTGTAAGCTGCTCACCAGTCAGCCCTCCCTCCTGCCTGCTCTCTGGGTCGGGGCGGCCCCTGCTCACCTCATAATCCACGCCGACCCGGTTCAGGGCGATGTTGATGGTGAAGGTCGAGGCGTCGTGGTGTGGCATCAGCGAGGGCTGCTCGTCAGGTTTGTAGCGGACAACAAAGGCCAGGTCGAACTGGGCCTGTGCCAAGGAAGTGACACAGAGAACTGGCATTAGAGAGAGGCCACGAAGGCCAGGACAGGCAGGGGTGGACAGAAGGGGCCACTCATCCAATCTGCCAGGATGTCGGCTCCCTGAGGGCGGGCTTGTTTAATGCTGTGTTCTCCAGGCCTGGAACAGTGTCTGGCACAGAAAGCGTTCTCAGTAAAAATGTAGGGAGATTGGGGTGGCCAGATGGCTCAGTTGGTTAGAGCACAGTGCTCATAACACCAAGGTTGCCAGTTCGATCCCCGCATGGGTCACTGAGCTGCGCCCTCCACAACTAGATTGAAACAACTACTTGACTCGGAGCTGATGGGTCCTGGAAAAACACACTGTTCCCCAGTTTTAAAAAAAAATGTAAGGAGGAAGGGAAGGACAGAGGGAGGGAAGAAAGAAAAGGAAAGGGAAGGAAGGAGAGGAAGTGGAGGAAGGAGAGAAGAGAGGGAGGGAAGGAGAGAAGGAAGAGAAGGGAAGGAAGGATGGAGGGAATGAATCTAACCCTCATGACCCTTTTTGACAACTATCTAGGCTGGTGATTCCTTAAGGGCAGGGCCCAGGCACACTCAAAGCAGGTGTCTGGAGAAAACCACGTGAACTAGGAAGTAAGTGAGGGAAGGAGTGTGAAAGCCAAAAAGGCAGTCAACAGATATGAGTGACAGAGCCAGACAGAAACTGAGGGGAGGAATGCGCTTGCTGGCTGGCTAAATGGGGCTTGTCTGGTGAGCTGGCATAGCAATCACTGATGTGGTGGGGGTTAAGGGCACAGAGGAAGGATTCGAAGAATCACTGTGCAGTCAGAGGCTGGAGGCAGAGTGTCCCCGCCTCCCAGGCCCCAAGGCCTGATGGGAGGAAACTCCACTTCTACCTGGAGACCAAATATTCAGGCCTCTTCCCAAGCTGGGAACATTTCTCTCCCTCTTCCCCCCTCTCCCTTCCCCAGCCACTCCACCCCCAGCCCTCATCCTGGCTGTGCCCCAGGCATGCCCACCCTGGTGTAGTAGCCGGGGTAGAGCTTCTCCGTTATGGGGGCAATGTACTCCACCAAGAACTTGTGCCACTCCCGCTCAAAGTTGATCTGGTTCATGTGGATGTCAATGGTCGGCACGTTTTCATAGCCCCCCTGGATGCGGCTGTCCTGAGGGTGACCAAGAGAACTGGGTGAGCAGAATTCTAAGACGGCCCCCAGGTTCCCACCACCTGGTGGACAGGCTCTGTCCAATCCCCTTGACCTGTGAACCTGATGGGATAAGATTAGGTTATAGGGCAAAAGTGAAGCAGTTTTGCAGATGAAATTAGGGTAACTCATCAGCTGATTTTGGGTTCATCAAAAGGGAGATTATCCTGAGTGAGCCTTTTAAAGGAGAATCTTGAAGAGAGAGACTGTCCCCTGCTGGCCCAGAGGAAGCAAGTCACCGTGAGTTCTACGGCTGCAGCGACACGAATTCTGCCACCTGAGCTCAGAATAGGACCCCCGAGCCCGAGATGAGGCCTCAACCCCAGGTGATACCTTGATTGAAGTCCTGTGAGACCTTGAGCAGAGGACCAGACTCCCAGCCCACAGAAACCCAGAGATGATAAACAGGTATTGTTTCAAGCCACTGAGCTTTGTGGTAAATAATTTGTGACACAGCTTAGAAAACCAACGCAGAGGGCCACGGGTCAGCTCAGGCACCGAGATCCCAGGGCCTGGCCCCACCATGGGAGCACAGGGATTAGCCAGACCCCAGAAAGCAGGAGGTTACTGGGCTCTGGAGATGGTTTCAGCACCAAAGCACGTGGATTAGGCAGGTAACCAGACCACAAGTGAGTCGGCTGCCTGGTCAAAGGTTAGCTGGTCTCTGAGGCACCCAGGTCCGGGGGCTCATGGGCCTTTAAAAATGGTTCCTGAACTTTCCAAGGTAAGTGCAGGTATGGCACTCCACCTTCACAGAACTCACAGCTCCTCCCGCCCACCATGCCGCTTGCTTCTGCTGTCTCGTGAACTTGGCCCTGACGTCACTGCCTCATCTACACTTGCTTATACCTCCCCTATTCCACGCCCAATCTGGGGAAGGGAGCTCAATCACTCTAATAATAAGCCAGGAACTGGAAGCAGCAATTTAGGATAAAGGAATGTCAAAGTCACCCAGTGGTCACAGCAGCTTAAGGACCAGTACTCCATCCCTTTTCTCAATCCCTCTACTAAGTGCCTGCAGACCCCCCACCAGGGTCCCCATCTAAAGAGAAATTGAGGCCGGCTGAGTGATGCGTTGGTTAAGAGCTGGCTTGAGACGCCAGAGGCCCCGGTTCGGATCCCACATGAGGGCCAGTGACGCTGCCCTCTACAGCTAAGATGGTGAACAACAGCTCAACCTGGAGCTGGGCTTCTGTGAGTCGCCAGCAATGGCGTAGGCTGCAGTAGGGCTGCAGTGGGCTGCCATAAGCTACCGTGTGTGGCCAGCAGCCAGAGTGAGCTGCCAAGAGCCGCTATGAGTGGCCATCCAGGGGCCGGCGACTGATCGGCCTCACCCGGGAAGAGCGCAATGATAACACCAACATGTGCCAGTAAAGCGACGTCCTCCACAACTAGACTGAAGAACAAAAGGACAGCAACTTGTCTGTTCCCCTCCCCCAATTCCCCAATAAAATCTTTTTAAAAAGTAAAATAAATAAAGAGAGATTGGCAAGCTTGCCAGGAAAAGAGCCTGGAGGGCAGGAATGGGTGGAGGGGTGATCGGTCTCCCCACAGCCCCAGTCCAGGCGCCTGGTACCCTCACCCTGTTATCTCCCAGAGACCACTGGCCGTAGTGTTCCATCTCCTCCACCAGCTCATCACAGGCCGTCTCCGTGAAGATGGGGAACCAGTAGACGTCCGGGCAAGGCTGGGGGGGGGGCAGGGACTCAGTCACAGGGGTCCAGAGTGGCACTGCCACATCCTACCCCTGTCCCCATGGCCCTCTGTGGAACTCGCTGAAGGCAAAGCCCCTCCTGTGGTCCATACCCTGCCTCCCATCCCGGTCTGTGAGCCCTCCGAGTATCCCCACAAGTGTCCCCGCGGAGCAGGGACTCCGTGAGCTGCTGAAGGGAGAGGGGAGTAGAGCTCAGAGCTGGCCTTTCTCAGCCGAGGTCACAGAGCTACCAGTGCCAGAGCCAGGAAAGGACCGTGCACATCGAGGGAGCAGAGGCGCTCAGGCTCTCGGGGGAGCAGAGGGGTACCCGCTCTCCACTCCTGGCCCAGGGGCCATCGTCCACAATTGATACCACATTTGGGGATGTTTTTCTCTTTCCTGCCTGGGCCAGGGAAGAAGCCTAAGACCCCCAAGGCCCCTGCGGACTCCAGCTGGAACATACCAACAGGAGGAAGGGCCACCCGTTGCCCATTCTCTCACCCTGAGCACTGTCAGAGCACAGAAAGGGGTGCCTTCGCACCCCTCCTCCCCCAGGGTCAGCCAGTTTTGTTCCTCTGTCCTTCCTCCCCTACGGCAGGTGTCAGGTATAAATCTAGTAGCTTTGTGTTCGGAGGCACCCAGTCCTTACCGTCTCCACCAGCTTCCCTGCCAGCGCCTTGGTGTAGTTTTCATGGATATACTTCTCCTTCCATTCCTGTAGGGAGGGGGAAGTGGGCTGGGGTCCTCGGGCCTGGCCCGGGCCAGCTGGGGCTCACCCCTTGCTCAACTCCATGGGATGCTCCAAGCGGGGGTTCCTCCCCCCAGGCCACACACAATATAAGTGAATGTGTGCTTGCCTGAGGGAGCCGCGATGCGCCTGTGCCCACTGGGTATATGTGTACTGTTTGGGCGCAAAAGTGTGCCCACAGGAACTGGCATTTGCATGTGTTTGTACACATGTGTGCATGTGTGCACACGTCTGTGTGCAGGTATGGGCGTGTGCCCATGTCAGCCAGAAGCGCGCAACATCTAGAAACGCTGTCATCAGTTTCTCCTCCTCTGATCATCACAACACCCTCACGGGCAAGTCAGGCTGAGACAATATACCCATTTTAGAGCTAAGATAACTGAGGCCCCAAAGGTTTTGAGGCTCCACTACGTGATGACTGATGTGCCTGACTCCTGGCCCCTCCTCCACTAGATGGCGCTGCCTCTCAAGATGCCCTCCTCTCCGACCCAAATTTAGTGCAACAAGCACCCTGGGAAGGAGGGAGTCAGGTAGCTCACAGGGTCCCAGCTGTTGTCAGGCTCTGAGAGAGAGGCAACTCAGGCTACAGGATCACTGGGGTCCCTTCTGCTCCCACCCCTGTCCACCCACCCAGGGCCTCACCTCAGGGTTGTTGAACACCTCCCAGAGGTCATTGTGGAGGTGGGTGGTCTGGTAGTTGTCCAGGGAGAGCAGGTGGCCAAAGGTGTGCCGGTTGGTCAGGAACATGAACACATCCTGGGGAGAGCAGGCTGGATGGAAGATACCCTACCTCTCCCCTGCATGCCCCTGGATGGGGCATGACGGCAGCCCCTCTGCCTACCAGGTTCAAGTTCATAAGATCAGGGAACCAAGTATAGATCACCCCATCTCCCCACTCCTCGGCCCAGGGGATGCAACCAGGGAAGGCTTCCTGGAGGACTGAACGGGAAGGAAAGAATGAATGTGCAAAAGAAAAGGATGGTGCTCTGATCCTGAAGCTTTAGGCACCGGGGAAAACATCATCGTGCTGTCACATTTTAAGAAATAACCACAAAAAAAAATTGGGTGGGACACAAGGACTGGGTAAGGATGTCTCTTGGGCACGTTACTTGGAATACATTTAGGTGGAAAGTATAGTTTTCTTTAGGCGCTGTCAAAAATGTAAGTAAAATCTAGGGTGTGAAAACTGGGTCTGCTAAAATGATGCCCACAAACTCTGAGGACTGGCCCTCATGCCGGTGCTCTCACCAGGCCCTGGAAGCCTTTGAGCAACCCTGCTGGAATCGCAGAAGCTCCAGGGCCTGCGGTGACAAGGTAGCCCACCTTCCCTGTCAACAGGGCCTCCTCTGACTGCCCAGCCCAGGCTGACCTGCTGCCGGATGTTGGCGCAGAAGGACATGTCAGGGTCCAGCTTGCTGTGGTGGAACATGTCTGTCTGCTGCAGCTCAGTCCGCAGGGCACTGCCCTTGATCAGGTAGATGTTCAAGATATAGGGCACGTTCCAGACACCACTGAGGGAGAGGGAGGAAGATGGAGGGGGCCACAGGCTGGGGGTGAGGGTCACAGGCTGGGGGTCAGGGGCCCAGGAGAGGGGAGGTCACAGGCCGGGAGGGCAGAATAGTGTTGATTTGATTCCCCTACCCTGGGCACGTGGGCCCAGGGTAATTGTCAGAAAGTCCTTCTGTGTGTCTGACGGCAGTCTTCCTTGCTTCAGGTTCAGCAGGAATTTGAGGGCAACAAAGACAGGAATACTGGGGAGGACAGCGCTGCAAGGCTGGGAAGAAGGCAGATGAGCGCGCGCCTCCTGCAGGTACTCACACACGCCGCCCCTGCACGATGTCCACGTAGTCCTCGGAGCGGGCGTAGTAGCCATCTGCACTCAGGGCGCCCCAGAAGTTCGACCACAGCCTCCCATGGCGGGTCATCAATGGGGCGATGACGTTCCTATGAAAGGAAGCACCTCAGGGGAGTCCCTTTGCCCACTGGGAGTTTGGGGCAGATCCAGCTAGGTGTGGGGAGAGGGCAGGAGGGTGCCTTTGAAGCTGCAAGCACCTCCCTGGGGCATGGCCTAATGGGGCATTTGGTCCATTGGTACCGGCTCCCTCCCACAGGGCAGCTAGGAACAGAGGATGGGAGGAGGGGGCAACACGGGGCTTGCAGAAGGGAGGTGGGGAACGTCCTGGACCAAGACCAGGCTGTCAGGCTGGGGCAAGCCAAGGCTAATAGGGGAGGCCAAGGCAGAGGAGGAAGAGGAAAGTGGGTGCGGGGCTCCCAGCCTGGGCCCAGGCCTATCACGAGCAGGGCTGGGCCTCCGCGAGCCCCGTTCTGAGGGCCCACCTGCCCGCCCGCTGCAGCCCACCCATAGCCCCACTTGTTTTGCTCAATCAGCAATCTCAGGATTTTGGGCTCTGTCAAGGCCACGTCAGCATCCACGCTGAAGTAGTAGGTACAGCCACGGTCCTGCCGGCACAAGTCCCTGTGGGCACAGGACACAGGGTCAGCGGGGCTGAGGCTCCAGTCCAGCCTCCCCACCCAAGATCCCGGAGCTGCCCTGCAGCTGCACGCTCCACCCCTGCTCACATCTGGATCACCAGGTACCAGCTAAGGGTCTTTAGAGAGGTCGGGCCAGCCTGTGAACAAGGTTAAGACCAGCAGCCTCCAAGTTCCCTCCCAACTCTGAGACCCAACACTGGGCTACTGAGCTCTCAGGACAAAGGCCCAGAGCTTGGCAACTGGTATCAAGTGCCCTGGTACCAGGAAAAGCACGGCCCACACACAGGTTCCTGCACTGCCCGGGACCAGGGGGTAAACTGGTGCTGCCTTCCTGTAGGGCAGTTTGGTAACTTGTACCAAATCCTTAAAAATTTCTGTTCTTTTTATCTGGTCCAGGGCTCAGCAAACTATAGCCCATGGTCCAAATCCAGCCCACTACCTGGTTTCATGCGGCTTGTGAGCTAAGAATGATCTTATATTTTCAAAGAGTTGGGGAAAGAATCAAAAGAAGTTGCATGACAATCACATGAAATTTACATTTCAGTGTCTGTAAATAAAATTTTGCTGGAGCCCAGCCATGATCATTCATGTTAACACCAGCAGAGCCCTCAAAGTCGGTTTACACAGACTTACTGGCCTAATCCTTTAAAGCAGCGGTTCTCAACCTTTCACAGGGGTCGCCTAAGACCATCGGAAAACACATATTTTCCGATGGTCTTAGGAACCGAGACACCGCTCCTCTATCCGTCTCCAGGCCCACATGCAGATACGCCCACATACGAGTACCCGGCGACCCCTGTGAAAGGGTTGTCCGACCCCCAAAGGGGTCGCTACCCACAGGTTGAGAACCGCTGCTTTAAAGGAAGTCTGCCAACCATAGACCTGGGCAGTCTAATTCTTCTATAGTCAACATAACTTACTTGTTTGTTTGTTTTAATAATAAAGGGAAAAAACCAGAGGTTGTTGCTCTAATGTTCATCACTTATTGACTCAGGGCCCTCCAGTCCTTCCTCTTTCTCTGATTTGCTTCCTGAACCCTAGTGATGCTGCTCAGCCCCAGCCAGGAGCCCCTAGGTTCGCAGGACGGAGACTATGTCCCCATTTGACAGACGGGAACACTGAGGCCCAGAGAGGGGCAGGAGCTTGCCAGAGGCCACACAGCCTTCTGAACTCCCTTTCTCCCGGCCGACTGCTCCTGCCACCACTGTCAGCAGAGAGAACCACGATCCCCCTGGCTCCCAACTCACATGCCCATGTTCCTGGCATCAGCGTTTGCCACCCGCACATCAGGGCCCACCAGCTTCACAGACTGGTAAACATCACCATGCTCTGCCAGGAACTGCTCGACCTGAGCCTTGTGGTGTTGCTCCTGGGGGGTGGGGGATGGAAGGGTGAGGACGAGGACACGGGTACCGCGCCAGGGACCGCAGCACCTTCTGGTACTTCAAGCTGTTTCCCCTTCATTCCTGGCACATCCCTGGCCACATGCTCTCCTAGACTCCAGACCTTTGCCCATGCCAGACCTTCTGCCTGGAGTGCCCTTCCCTGGCCATCCTTGACCATCCTCCCCTGACCAAGCCAGGCCCACTGGCCTCTTAAGAGTCTCTGTCACCAGGACAGCACCCCAACCCCAAAGGTCCCACATCCAGAGTCATTGATTATGCTGGTCTAGGGTGTGGCCCAGGGATCTGCTCTGTCTCAAAACACTCCAGGTGATGCTGAGACCACACTTGGAAGAACAGAAGTCCACACTCAGGGCCCCTTGCATGAGGAAGCGACAGAGCAGTCTTTAGAACCAAACCCAGGGTTCAGAGCGAAGCCCGGCTCTGCTACAATCAGCTGTGTGGCCTTGGACGAGTCACTTCACCTGTCTCGGCTTCAGTTTCCTCCCCTGTAAAAAGGGAGGGTAATCATGCCTCCCTCACAGGGTCACTCTAACGAGTCGACAAGGCAGATGGAGCACACAGTAGGTCCTCAAACACTGCCTGGGACACATCTCTTTTTCTACCCAAAGTCACAATTGGGTGTACTGCTTGATGTCTGCAGAGAAGCTGGAAGCCTCCCGAAGGCAGTGCCTACACCCTGTCTCCATGTGGCACAGCTGAATGAATGTCTGTGACACAGGCAGAGAGATGAGCTGAGTATGAGACTCCAGGTCCCTGGAGGTGGGGTGCAGGCTCTCAGGGCTGAGAGGTCCCACAAAGGGGTAACCCTAGATGGGGCAGCTGAGAAGACTTGAAGGAAGACGAGGAGACTTGAGAGCAGGTAGGATTTAGAGAGCGTATCTGGGATCCCAGTTAGGGAAACTGGAGGACGCCAAGGCTGAGAGGTGGGACTTGATCCAGCTAGGAAGGAGAGGCAGGAAAGAGAGGGAACTAGGAATGCTGAGTCCAGGCCAGCTCCCCACAGAACAGCAAGCCTCAGGGCTCCCCATTTCCCCAGAACTCAAGGAATGAAAACCAGTTTGACTATCACCAGATCAAATTAGAAAGGACTGATTGGGGCAAGGAGGAAAAGAACGACACTGATGACAGCTATGAGCACCTACTGTGTGCTGCCTATGCACCAGGCTTCATGTGCTTCATGTGTCTTCCTGGTTAACCCTTGCAGCAATTCTGTGTGGTCAGCGCTATCATTATCCCTATCTAATAGACGAGAAAACTGAAGCACAGAGAGGTTGAGCAACACGCCCAAGGTCACATAGCCAATATAAGCAGTGGTGTTGGAATTCAAACCCAGCCAGTCAACCCAGTGATTCGGGGATACAGCCCACTGCTCACTTGCATTTGGCCCAGACAAGCCTGTCCCAGTCAGTTCCTCAGAGGTGTCAGGCCACCTTGTGAGGCTGGGCCCTTGACCCAAGCCACAGGGTGACCCCGCCAAGCACCTGCTACTCACGTGGTTGTGAATGAAAAGCCGCATCTGTTTCCGGGGGTAGTGGAGGCGCAGGAGCCGCTGGAAGAACAGGGACAGAAACGGCGTGGGCTGTTCGATGAACACGCCAACCAGGACGGTGGGCAGGGCTTCATCCTGCATGGGGAGGGGGCGGCACAAGGGCCCAGCAATGAATGTCCAGTCACTGAGCCACCGCCGAGCCCCTAGGGGGGCCTGAGGGAGGCGGAGGCCTGCGGACTGCGCGGGGAAGGGGTCTGGGCCAGGAAGCTCCGAGCAGGCTGTGCAGGGGGGCAGAGGCAGGGACTGGCAGGGAGGCGAAAGGATGTCCCTGCGGGGACAGGTGGCAGCGTGAGCTCAGACTCGGAGCAAGGACCAGTGGACGGCAGGCTGTCGGGAGAGCTTGGCTGGTGTGGGATTTGAAGCGGGCCATAAATGAGGTGTAAAAGGTTTGTGGGATGGGGAGGGAGTTGCAGGAGAGCCTGGACGACCAGGCAGAAGAAACTGGAATCTCAGCATCTGGGGAAACTGGAGCCATGTGTCGTCTGAGAAGGCTTCCAGGGGGAGGTGCCTGGGTGAGGAGGAGGACGGAAGCCCAGACAGGGAAGTGATCCCTTTACCTCCCACCAAAGACAGCAGAGTCTCTTCCAGAATCACCCGTCTCCTCCCACCCCAGGGGACAGAGCCCCCAGTGTCCGGCGGCCTTACCCCGATGCCCTTGAGGCTGCGCAGGCCCTCGTCACATACAATGCAACCCGTCTCGAAGGTCCAGAAGCGCGGGATATAGTTGCCCAGGTAGTTCAGCTGCAGCTGTGGGAGAAGAGGGGTCTGAGAGGAGCCGGGCCAGTCCCTCCCGCCTGCAACCACCGAGGCACATCTCCCTGGGCCCCTGGTGGACCCGCAACCCCTCCGCCTGCTACCCCTACGGGGGCAGGAAGGTGACTTGATTTGGGGTGGGCCTTGGAGAGTGTGTTCATCCCCCCCCCCCCCGAAGATCACCAAAGCTACTCAGCGGGAGGGCAAAGGGAGGGCTCGGTGCTCCGGTGCTTCTTCATCTCTGTATCTCCTGGGAGCCTGTAACATGCAGGCTCCTGGGCTCTAACCCTCAGAGATTCCAATTGAACAGCTCTTGGGTAGAGTCAGAAAATCTTCATTTGTAACATGCTCCTCTTCCACGTGATTCTGGCCCAGGTGATGGAGGACCATGCTCAGAGCAACACGCTGTGAGCCAGGGGTCAGTCCCCAGGCGCCGGTCTGCACCCCAGCCCCTTCTGTAGCTCCAGGAGCACGGGGACCAGTCTGCCCTGTGCATGGCTGACTGTGTTTCATGCCTTTGTGCAAACATTCAATAAATGTTTGTTGAATGAAGAAACGAGTCTCCCCTGGGGTGATGGATGACGTGGGGCAGCCCACCCTAGACCTGCATGGGGACAGTGACCTCCTTTATGGCCTGTGGTCCAGCAGAATGACAGGGCATCACCGACCACCACAGTAAGGAAAGAAGGTGCCACACTGAACTCAGATGTGAGGTCAGAGGCAGCAAGCTCAAAGTGGGGCCCAGGTAGGCGGCCCAGGTGGGTGGCCCTGACCCCAAGAAGAAGATGTGTGGTCACAGTGAGGGCAGAATTGGGCTCTGGCCCCCTCCCACTCTCCCAAGGGGCAGGGGCCCCGCCCTACCTTGGTGGGCCCATTGCCGTGAATCAAGACAGGGAGGGTGTCATAGGCCAGGTTCCGCGCCCTCACATGGCCCATTTCAAACTTGAGCACGACCTCATCTGGGGGGTCAGAAAACACAGTGCCATCGAGCATCAGACCCAGAGGCCAAACTCGGGCTGAGAAGCTGGGCTCAAATCCCAGCTTTTCCCTCGGGGAGCAAGGTGTGACCCTGGGCTAGTCACTTCACCTCTCCAAGCCTCAGTTTCCTCATCTGTAAAACGGGGATAAAAGTCGGAAGATTCCATGTCCAGCAAGCACTTAGCACCACACTTGGCACGTGGTGAGCACGAAATCCACTGCAACCCCTGTTATTTACTGCGATCACTTATTGAGCCGACAGCAGGGGATGGGAGAAAGTGAAGGCCTGAAACATCCCAGCTCCAGACACAGCTCAGACAAGCCCCACAGATACGGTCTGGGAGACGCCCGCTCTGACAGGCAGGCAGAGCAGCACTGAGGATATGCCAGCCACACAAGGAGGCCTGGTCGGGGCAGAGGACAGATCCTGTCCGGCTGGAGACAGCCCCTGTGGCAGGGTCCTAATCTCCATGCTTGGACCTCGTCAGTCTACACATAAGAGGAAGCTGCCTTGTCCGACAGTTATGAAACGCAGAGTGGCCTTTTCTCAGCGGCCTGAGAAATGCTGGGCGGGGGAGGGCTTTGAGGTGGGTGACCCTGGGAGGAGAGCCCTTCTGTGAAAACTCCTGGCCCACCCAAGAGGGGGTCTGGACTCAGCTTCTTAACCTAGGTTCATAAACTCCCAGAAACCACAGGCAAAAGGGCACAATGTTCCTGCATCTTCCTGGGAGAGGAGCCATAGCTTTCCTCAGATTCTCAAAGGGATTCTCAAAGTGATACCCCATAAAATACCCATCAGTGATCTGGTCCAACTTCTCTTTTCTAAAGATGGGGAAACTGAGGCCCACGGGATGTGTGTGTGTGTGTGTGTGTGTGTGTGTGTGTGTGTGTGTGTGTATATGTGTGTCTTGACTGAGGTCACCCAGCAAGATAGTAGCAAAGCCATGTCATCACCAGCCAGACTTGGGGTCAGCCCAAGGACATTTGTGGTTTTAAGGGCCACGTGGCCTCTCTGCTTCCCAACTCCCTGCCAGGTCGGTCCCTGCCCCCAGCCCCAAGCCTTCACCTGGGAGGTGGGAGGGCAGGGGAAGTAGGCAAAGCACGCTCACCTACAAGGGCCAGGGATGCCGGGCAGGGGTCAGTACCTGCTGTGTGCATGACTCAGCTCATCCCAGGCTGAGGGGCTGCCTCCCTGACCTGGTGTCCTGCATGGGCTGTGGCGGGTAACCCTGTGAGGGCTGTGGGGACTGACCTCATGACTCTAGTTTCTCAACCACAGAGAAACACAGCTCTGCCCCAGGACACCCAGGTGGACTCGGGGGACCTGGGGATGAGGAAGGTGATCTCTGAGCACAGCGGGCAGAAAGAAAGCGGCCCCTTCTCCTCCGTAGCCTCAGGCCCTGCCTGGAATCCTCACCTCCTTACCCCCCTCACAATCCCCTCCCCACAGGGGCTGCTTACCCAAGGCTCCGTCCAAGTTCTGGAAGATACGGCAGCGGTGGTCCAGGGTGATATTGATCTGCTCCTGCAGGAAAGGGCACCAGGCTGCATCAGGGACAGGCCCTGGCAGAGGACAGGGCTCCATCACACCCACTGTGGGCAGCCTGCCCTCCCACCTCTGTCATTCCCTCTCCCCACACCATCTTTGCCCCATCGCATCAGGGCAGCTGGGAGCCCTGGAAAGGCCAGCTGGTGGCCAAGCCCCTGGGATCTACTGGTCTAGTGGCTCCTTTCACACAGAACCAGGGGCTCCCAGAACTGGAAGGAATCTAAGGAAACAGCTGGTTCCACTATAACAACAACCATAATAATAGTAACAAAGACTTGTTTAGCACTTTACTGTGTGCCAATCACTATTCTATTCTAGGTATTATATATAAATTAATTAATTTGATCCATGCAACATCCCTATGAGAAAATACCACCATCACTGCATTTTACAGGTTTAAAAAACAAGACACAGAGAGGGTGGGTAACTTGCCCAAGGTCACACAGCTAGTAAGTAGCTAAGTTGGCATTTGAACCCAGGTAGCCTGGCCCCGAAGTCCATGACACAATGCTGCTTCTTCATGGAGCCCTAGGCCAGGCCAAGAAAGGGCAAGGGGCACTCTAGGCTCGGCCCTCATCCCATATAGAGCAGCTCCACTTTTATGTTTAGACTCTGGGCTTCTGCAAGCAATGTCACCGGAGGCAAAGGGGAAGGAGGAAGGACCAAGTTAACAAAAAGATCAAGTTCATAGTTTCCACTGCACAGGCTCAGCAACTTAATTTCATCAGTTTGTGGATGATAAAAACAGGCCCACAGAGGGGAAGTAACTTACCCTAGGTCACAAAGCACAGCACAGATGGGGGGTGGAGGGTAAGTAGGGCGAATCCAGGAAGCCTGACCCCTAAGAGCTCCCTGAGCTTCCTGCTTACCCAGAGGGCACCGGCTGGGTGTGGGGCTGCCCTGGCCTGGTTCTGCCACCTTGATGATCCCTGCCTAGAGACAGGCTTGCAGACAGGCTCTCATCAGCCCCCCAGGAACACCCCCAGGCAGAGTGGGGGAGAGGCAGCTCAGCCTGTCACTTCCTTTTATCACCATCTCCACCACCTGACATGAGGTTGTAAACTCCTGGTCTCCCCACTTGAGGGTCCACGAGGGCAGTGACCCTGACCGTTTTGTTCACTGCCATATCCCTGCCCTGCCCCTCACAGTGTCACCCACACAGCAGGCGCTCAATAAATAAATGAGTGAATCAATGAATGGAGAAATGGGGGTGTCAAGACCAACCCAAGGGCTCAGGCCCTGGAGGGGCGGCTCCCTGTGCAGCCTGGACTGCGGGATCCGGGGCTCCCCAGCTCCGCCTGCTGTCTCTTACCCTCTTCCCCGTGTCCAAGAAGATCTGGGTGTAAAAGAGCTGGTCGCTGTCACTGTCCTGGCCCTCCCACTCGGCCACCAGTTTGCTGAGGTTGGGGGCATAACCGATGAAACCTGGGGGTTGCATGGGGACACAGAGACAGACACTTAGCTTCCAGCCTCTAAGCTAGGGCCTCTTCCCGGCCCCGCCTCTCCCACCTCCCGCTCATTGGCTCACAAGCCGCACCTCCTCTCAGAAGTTCTCCTAGATTGAGAGATGATGTTTCTCGTCTGCCAGTTAATGACACTTAGTGATGAGTTCTCAATGAACCCAGAGAGAAACTGCACCCGCTCAGGTACTAGGCACCTCATAGGTGGTGAATGAATGGATTAGACCAGGGGCCCCTGGAGAGCAGAACTGGTGGGGCACAGGCTGGGAGCCCCTTTTCTACAGTTATCTGGGAAACTTGGCCCAGAGAAGTGCAGCGGTTGAGCCAAGGTCACATAGCACATGGGGCTTAGAGAGAAAAACCTACACGGGTGTCTGGCTATAGGGCAGACTGGTGAGAGAAGAAGAGAAATGGGAGAGGGTGGGCACCCAGGGAGGGTCCCATCCCAGGGGACACCGCTACCCTTGGGCCAGGGCCAGGCCACTTGGACCGTGCTAACTCTGTCAGCCAATGAGGAAAAGTGACTGCTGGGGACAGATCCCCCTTCCGTGTGGACAGAGACATCCAGAATAAAATATGGATTTTATTCTCTGTGCAACGGGAAGCCATTCAGTGACGTGTGTAGATTTGTATCTGGCTGCTGGGTGGAGAATGGGCCGGAACAGGGTGAGGGTGGAGGCTGGCAGAGCAGCTTGGAGACCACTGCAGATGGCCAGCAGCCTAGCGAGAAGGTGGCAGTGGGTGCAGACATGAGAAGGCAGATTCAAGAGATATTTTGAAGTAGGAGTGATGTGACTCTCAAAGGAACTGAGGCGGGCGAAGGCAAGGGAGGAATCAGGGTGACCCCCAGGTTTCTCCCTGTGCAGGTGAGTGCCTGTTATTGAGATGAACAAGGCTGAGGAGGAGCAGGTTTAAGGGTTAAAAAAACCAGTTCTACTCAGGACATTCTGTGTGTGGGACCTGAGAGACGTCCATGTGGACATCAAGCAAGCGGGGGTCCTCAGGAGGGCAGCGGGCAGAGCCCTCTGGAGCCCACCCAGCCCAGCCACACACTCCTCACCTCCAGAGCCCAGGAACCTCTTGCCATCCGACACCACAGGGTACTTGGCCTCCAGCCTGCGGTCCGGATAGATGAGCTCCTCAGCCGAGAAGACCACCTGGCTCCTGGCCTGTCGGAACTTCTTCAGGAGCTCCTGGGGCCCTGATGCAAACAGCACGTCGTAGCTGCAGCCAGAGCCAGGAAAAGACGGGGCAGAGGTGAGCAGGGGCACGGTGAGGGCCTAGGCAGGAGATCTCAGTCAAGGCTCTCCACACATCCCCTTCCTCCCGTCGTCTATGGAATGGATCTGCCCTGTAGTGCCCGCCATGTTTACATGCCCCCACCCCCAGGGAGAGCAATGGTCCCCATGACCCATGCCCTTCTCACTCAGAGAATGGCTGGTCATACCTAGGCAGGTCCCCTCACTCATCTTTCACCAAGAATGAGAATGGGATATACCAGAGGGTCTTTCCTGGGGTCCACAGACCCCCTAAAACTATAGGCAACCTTAGCCAGAGTGATCATCCCTTATCCCCGATGTCCTAGGAGGGCCTCCCTTTAGAATATTCTTCTATCTCTCTGCTCAAGGGCCCCGCCCAGGAAGCCCCTAGCCACCGACCTGTCTGTGAAGAGAATGACCAGGTTCTCCTTGTCTGCATGCTTCTTCAGAGCTTTCTTCAGCAGCCGAACCTTCAGCCCTCCACCTGCTGATGACCCCTTCTCCCCAATCCAGTCCTCCCCCAGGCCCAGCACCTGCAGAGAAAGGCCCCTTAAGGGTGGTCATGTGATCATGATAACCAATCAGAGTACTTTCCCATAGCCATGAGTTTGAGCATGTGACCCAAGCACAGCCTATCAGATTCTTGCCTGGGACTGTTCCACTAAAACTAAGGAAAGGCTGTCTTTTCTGCTGAGGTTGAGAAGCTGGGGCACGTAAGCATTGTGGCTGGTGGTCATGTTGCCACCATAGAGAGAGCACGTCTGCCAATGAAAACAAACAGGGCCCAGAGATGAGAAGGCAAAGCTTCTACCATGCTTGAACCCCTGGATCCAGCTATGTCTCAAGCAACCCCCTACTGCAACCCTCATTCATGTGAGCTAGTAAGCTTTCTTTCTGGCTTAATGCCACTAGATTGCAAGCCGTGTAGGCAGTGACGTGGTCTGTCTTGTCCATCACCCCCAGTGCCTTCCATTGCGCCTGATACAAACAAGGAGGCACTCAGCACACTCAGCTAAATGGAGGAATGTTTCCCTGCAGGGCTCAGCCATGGGCCACATGCAGAGGACACCAAGTCCATGACACTGATGGACTGGGCATTAGCCCACGTTTCTTTAGAGCAGGGTTTGTACAGGTAAGGTCTCCAGACTGTGGCCATCCCAAAAATCAGCCGGGGGAAGTTGTGGAAATTCTGGTTCCAGGCCTGCCCTCTAAACTAGCCACCCCGCCACCCCCAGGTGAGTCCTATGCCCACCACACACCTGTCCAGTCTCACTTCCCCCACACTCGCCATCTCCAGCCCCTCCTGGACTTTGTTTAGGTTCTTTCCCTTCTTGCTTTTCCTAACTCATCTTCATCTTTCAGGCTTCTGGAAGCTTTCTGTGTGGCCCCAAGTCAGCTGGAGAAAGGAGACACACCCCTCGGCTGTGTCTGCCCCACCAGGGGAGCCCCTTATTACCTGGATCTTGTAGTTGAAGAACTGGGCTGAGCGCTTGAAGCGTCGGAACCCCTCCGTCTCCTTCGTGGCCACTGTGAGGACTAAAAGGTTGTCTAGGGAGAGAGAAGGGTGTGGTGAATGGGGATGGAGGATGAGGACAGGTAACAGACAGGAGCGGGTAGCTGTTCCCAATTCTGTTCTTGCCAAACCCTGCAGCATGTGTCTCCATGTCCATCACAGACAAGAGCCCAGGGCCCAGGTAGGAAAAGACATGTCTAAGATCACTCAGCTGGTTAGTGACAGAGCCGGGACGTAACCTGGATCTCCCAGTTCTCCTCCAGGGCTCCAACCACCTGGTAACTGATCAATAGGGGAGGAAGTGTCCAGACCAGAGGTGTCTGCACCTTGCATTGTGGAACTGGGTCTCTCGGCTTTAGGGGGCTTTGGTCAGACACAGGGGCAGAGGGAAGGATTCACTCTGAATGCTGAATACCAGGAGGACCTCTCTGGCCATGTCAGACATTAGCCCAGGGATGGCCACCACTCTCATGCCTGCACCCAGGGCAGACATTGCTAATCAATCCCAACAGGCTTTCTTGCTGAGCCTCACTCGTCTTTGGATTCTCCCAAAACCATGAGAACCAATGAGAGTCGACTCGAAGTGGAAACCACCTTAAAATCCTGGTCTTTGACTAGAGCAGGTGTACCCCCTTTTTAACAAGGGACCTCTCTCGGGCTCTGTAGTGTGGCTTCACCGCTGTAATAGAACCTGTAGGAAACAGCTTCCCGGATGGCATCTCTGGGAGCCCTGGAAAGCCCCTCCCAGACACTTCAAGGCTGCGCTCTCTGAGAATTGAGGACTGTACAGCTGGCCCGCCTGGTCAGAGTCCTGACTCTGCTCTGTACCAATGTGTGATCTTGGGGAGTCCTTGACCCTCCTGAGCTTCAGTTTCTCCCTTATAAAACAGGGATAATAACGGCACCTACTTCCCAGGGCTGCCGGACTAATCCCATGAGATCAGGCTTATAAAATCTTTGTCGGGATGCTGGTACACACTACGAGCTGATTAGTGAGAAGCAAATGCCTTGCTGTGGCCTTCGAGGCCCTTGTTGATCAGCCCGAAGATGAGCTCATTGGGCCCTCCCCCCACCAAGAGTCTCACCTCGCTGGGCAGCTCCCTCCTGCCAGGGCTCCCTCTTTCTGCCCTTTCTCTAACCTTCCTCCAGGTCCCAGAGCCAGTGACAGTGACGCCTCTTCCCTGCCACCACCTCATGAAGCCTTCTCAGATTTCTCCTGACCTCTCTCCTGCCCTCAGAGGCAGGACCCCACTTCGCGGCATTCCTCATTGTTCTCCTGGGTGAGTTTTTCTTCACTGGGGCCCAGGACTTAACACTTTTCCAGGTGAACAGACCCCCAAGTGGTGTGGCCAGGCCAGCAAAAGCAGGTAAGACACCCCCACTCCCACCCCAGGAAGTCAGGAGGAGCCTGAGCTAAAAGAACAAAGGGGTCCAGCCTGGCAGAGCCGGCTGAGCGGAGGGCAGACTGCTGGCCCCAGAGCAGGGGGCTGGCGCCAGGCGGCCGAGCAGGAATTGGCAGGAATCCACTCGGGGTGGGCCCAGGGACCTGGAGAAGAAGGCAGTGGATGCACTAAGCAGGTGTGCAGAGAGGAGAGACCTCACCACCTGACCCTGGGGGCCAGGAAAGAGGGGAAGGGCTCCCCCTAGCTCCTGCCAGGATGGTTAAGCCCCCGTACACGGGTGAGGAAGCAACAGCTTCCAGCTCTGGGGCCCTCTTGCTGTCTACAGGAGCTACTGGGGACAGGAAGAGTGTCATATTTCATGGATGGAAAAAGCCAGTGTGTGTGTGTGTGTGTGTGTGTGTGTGTGTGTGTGTGTGTGTGTGTGTGTGTGTGTGTGTGTGTGAGATTCTGGATTCTCCATTGGATCAGGGGCTCCTGAAGTCAGGCAGCCGGGGAGGGAAGGGGAGACGGAGTGGTGCGTCTTGAGGCTCCTTTTTCCGGTTTCTGCTTCCAGATAAGTGACAATGATGGCTATCCTTCATTAAACACTTTCTGCATGCTGGACCCTGTTCTAAGCACTTTACACACACTAACCCCCCTATCCAGTTAGAAACCCAAGGCTCACACATGGTGAGCAACTTGCCCAAGGGGGTTAGGAGGTGGCAGCGCCAGGATTTGGACACAAGTGCCTAAATGAGAGCACCTCTTAACTTCTGCACGCACTGGCTGGGTGTCTGTCTCTCCATCTGTCTGTCTAAGGAGACTGTCTAGCTGAGGTGGAGGGGAGGGTCCCAGGCCATGCCAGACCCTTCCCATATGCTCACCTTCCTCCTACCCAGCCTGTGTCTTCTCTATTTCCCTGGAGGCTGCCATATGCCTGTAATGGGGCCTTAACAAATCCTGTGTTCCTTGGGCTACAAAGCACCCACCTCCCTGGCCGAGAACCCCACAAGATCACTCAGTCCAGAGGGTCCCAAACCTGCCTGCAAGTCAGCATTACAAGAGAAGTTGTGAAATTCAGACTCCTGGGTCCCTGGACCCCAGGTCTGAGATGGGCCCAGGGGTCTAGATTCTTCCTACATTTCCCAGGGGATTTCTGATGTCAGCCACATTTGGAAACCTCTAGTTCAACCCATCCCATGGTCCTCTGACCCTACGCTCCAATGCAGAGGCCTGGAAGGTGGGTCACAGCAAGAGAGCCCAAGGCAGGCCCCTCCCAACGGGACCCTGGCATCACCTCTCAACACCCCCATGGAACTGTCTCCGTGAATCTAACCTGCAACCTATTCCCTTGTCCTGCCTGCTAAACTCGCTCCTTTCCCTGAAGAGGTCCCAGGCCACCTCCTCCAAGAAGCCCTCCTTCATCTCATCCCCTTATGTGTTTAGTCAGTCCGTGCCGTGCAGTGTCAGGGTGCCTAGCAGTTGGTGTACCCGTATTAACCTGCTCCTACTCCCTTTGCCAGGCCGGGCTCATCACATCTTTATTTCCTTGGTCTCCCTCTCTGTCACCATTGTTGGGACTGAGTGTGACTTAGGCCTAGTATCTGGCCTTAAGGAGCACTGTGGGAAGGAGAGGCTGCTAAGTGCTACCACCGGTTGAGCCCTTACTTAGACGCCAAGCACTGCATGAAGTGTGTTACATTCATTATCACATTTATTTAACTATCAACACCCTATGCAGGAGGTGATATTTCTATCCCACCTCTACAGGTGAGGAAACTGAGGCACAGAGAGGCTAAAAAACCTGCCTGAGGCCGCAGAGTCGTGAAGTGAGAAGGGAATATGCTGGAACTCCAAAGGCCCATGCTCCTCACCTCACCACTTCCCAGTCAACATCCCCAATGCTGAGACTCACCCAAAGACTGAATCCAGCATTGCCAGCCGCCTTCTCTCAGACGCCCAGCGCGGGCACACAGCTCCAGTCACGAGGTGAGGTTTTTTCCCAATTCAATGGGGGCTGGCCAGAGCACTGGGCAACCCACGGAGCGTCAATGTGGAGGATTTCTCCTCATACCAGGGCCCCGCCCACCTGCTTTCTGTCTGGCCCAGCTGCCGCCTGGGGCCCAGGGCTCTCAGCCCTCCTAACCTGCTGCCCAAAGTCCATCTGTGTTTTCCCCAGATGGACGACCCTTAATCCAGGGTCAGCAGAGATAAACAGAGTAGAGTGGCAGAGTAGAGGTCACTGGGCTGGTAGCTTAGCCTGTCTGTGCCTGTTTCTTCATCTGCAAAACAGGAGTAATAACAACAATAATGTACCTTCCTCCAGAGACTGTGAGGATTAAATGAGCTGATGTCTGTAAAGTGCTCAGCACAGTAGCTGGCCATGGCAGCTGCATGCCTTCTTGTCATAGGGAACCTCCCCTAAAAGAGGGAGATGCGTGGGGGCAGGTGTTGCCCTGGGGGTCACGGATGGAGAGGAGCCCTTCCTGAGAGCAAGAATGATGCGGAGAGGCTGAGCCAGGGGACTTGGGGGAGTGCAGACACCTCTCTGGGATCCTAAGGGAAGGCTGAGGACTCAGGCTGGGTTCACTATGCTCTGGCTGATGTCCCCTCTGTCCCAAGTAGTGCCAACCCAGGCAAGAGACTGGGTTGCCCAAGGCAAGAGTGGCCTTGGCTCTCAAGGCATTGTCATGACACACCCGATCTGCTCTCTGGGGTGGTGGGAATGAACGAAGCTCCTCCCCCAGCCTCCATGCTCACCCTGGGCTTGACCGGAAGCCATAAACAGGGTCAGGCAGAATGGAGGGAGATGGGGATCCCCAGTGCCCAGGAGCCAACCTTGCCTCTTCCAGTCTGGACACCCACTCATTTCTGCAGCCTCAGGCCTCCTTAGGCTCTCCCCTCCTGACTCATACACATTTAGCCAGCCTGACTCCAGGGATATTTCCATTCCCCACCGTTGAACGGTATGACCTGGAGCCCCCACCCAAGACCAGCTGACATCCCTGGAGCCTCAGATTTCAGCAGCTCCAGGCTCTGGTGGGTCCTTCCAGCTCCATGCCAAGGCCGATAGGGAAAGGCGAGCGCCCAGGGAATGAGCGGGGATCAGCTAGAAGTCTCTACAAAAGGGAAAAAAGACCATGTGGCATCTGGACTCTCACGCCCCCTCAGCTCTATGGAAATTTGCTTGTTTGGATGCTGCTCTGTTGAAGGCCTTTTTCTGTCCCCACATTGGTCTCAGGGCTCCCCCAGGACAGGGCAATATTTCTTCCCTCAGCCACAGGGCTCTCTGGGAGCAAAGGATTGTTTCTCCCCCATCAAACTGGGCGTCCACTGGGGTAAGGAGCTCTGTGCGTCCGTCCCCCCCCCCATTGGGAGCCCCCTCTCCGTCTTTCTTTCCACGTGCCACATCCACAGGTGTTCAGATGAAGGGTGGACGAGCTGCAGCGAGCATCTCCACCCACCACACCCCCAAGTCTCCGTAGCAAATACCCTGCCCCACCTCAGACCTCACTATTCCCCAAGGGACACACAATATTGTCCCTACGCCTGCCTCAATGGAACACACTCCTCAGCAGCTGCCCCATCCCAGCCACCTGGTGCTGCACTGGGTGTCCTGGCCCAGCTCGAGGTAGGAAGGAGCTGGCCTCTCTGGGTGCTCCCTCCCTGACACCAGTCAGTGGGCAGCTTGGGCAAGGCCTGCAGGAAAAACTACCATCCCAGTCTGTCCTCCTGGCCAGGAGACTGAGGGTCCCACCTCAGCTGGGTCTGGGGGAGCTGGGCAGGCTCCTCCAGGCAGTGTCTCCAGGTAACAGCCCCGCCCCCGCACCCAGAGGAGGGGTTTGCAGGAATGAGCATTGGGTCTGAGTCCCAGCCAACCAGCTGTAGCAACCTGAGACCAGGTGTTTAACCTTTCAGGGCCTCAGTCTTCCCATCTGCAAATCGTAATGATTCCTTACTTATCCAAAGGGTCTGAATGGAGCAAGGGAAGCAGAGCTTCAACTTGAGAGTGGCTTGACCTTAGCGCCATACCTGGGGACCCGGTCCCTTCTCCATCAATGAATGATTGCTATCTCCTAGATGCCTTTCCTGGATTAGCTCAGTGAATCCTGCACCCTCTGTGGGGGCTGCCTTTTGTCTACTCTGCCTCCTCCCATCACCTGCTGGCCGTCAGGGCACCTGAAGCCTTGTCATTGATTTGGTCCCTCTGTGACACACCTCTCTGGGCTTCTTTGTGCGGGGCTAGAGTTTCTCTCATGGGATGGTCTGGGTGGAGGGAGTTCACATAAACAGAAGCAGAGCCAAGAGAGGCCCAGGGAAAATAAAGGCTATTATAGGGTTCCTGGCTGCCGGCCAGTGAGTGGACCCCGGCCCTTTGCACACACTAGCAGCCCAGCCTTGTGCTCAGCACCTCCCTCACTGGATTTTTTTACCTCTCTTACTGTCCTGCGAGGATGCGCCAGGAAAGCTGGCAGCACTGGGCCAGAAAATGCCTTATGGGCCAGGCATTGACCTAAACTCTCACCAACAGGCCTCATTCTATGGAATCCTTGAAAGAGCTCTAGGAGTCAAGTTCCAAGGCTCCTGTTTTGTAGACTAGGACAACAAGCCTCATGGAGATCAAGCACCACCAGCTGAACCACCAGGAGATGTGTGGCCTTGGGCACAGCCTGGCACAAAAGAATACTCATGAAATGGTGGTTCCTGGGCCGGCCGAGTGGTTTAGTTGGTTAAGAGTGCAAGCTCTGAGCCGCACAGTCGCAGGTTCGATTCCCACATAGGCCAGTGAGCTGTGCCCGAGATGACCTGCCGCTGAGCTGCCAACAGGTGGAAGGATGATTCAGCTGGTGAGAACATGTGCTCCTAACAAGGTTTCTGGTTTCACTCCCACATGGGATGGTGGGCTATGCCCACCCGCAACTAAGATTGAACATGGCACCTTGAGCTAAGTGGTTGCGAGCTGCAGACGGTTGGCTGGATGGCGAGCTAGCTGTGCCCTCCACAACTAAGATTGAAGGATAACAACTTGGCTGTTCTCCTTCCCCAATTCCCCAATAAAATCTTAAAAAAAAAGAAGAAAGAAAGAAATGGTGGTTCCCATTCCCTCCTCTGGTCCAAGGGTCTGCTAAACCACCACCCTGCCCCTCCAGCTCCCAGAATCTCCAAGAGGGTGGGGCCAGGGAACAGAGTATCATGGGAGGTGTGGACAGTCCAGCTCTGCTTCCCTGAGATTGCCCACAGTCTGTGTCCTCCTGGGGCTCTCAGAAGCTCAGCAGGCAGCCCTGGAGGTGCCCCAGGGAGGGCTGGGAAGGAGAGTAGCATCCACTCACTCAGGACAGTGGGGCCCCCTTTGAAATCCCTTCTGCCTTGGGGATGTAGAAGGAACACTAGACCTGGAGTCAACAGATCTCGAAGCAACCACTCCAGGACTGGAAAACCCTGGGTAGTCACAGTACCTGTCTGGGCCTCAGTTTCCTCATGGGCAAACTGGAGAGAGTCAGACCCACCTGGCAGGGGCAGAGCAGACCACAGAGGACATGGCTGAAAGTGCCAACAGCTCTGCAATGTGAGACACCCCTTCCACACCACCCAGCAACCACCCACACCCATGGTTTCAAGGCCTAGTGGCCCAAGCTGGGCTCTGGAACCAGACACACCTGGGTGTTAATCCAGGTTTCCAGGCCCACAAGCTGTGTGACCTTGGCCAAGTGAATCAAGTCTGAAGCCTCAGTTTGCCCAACTGAAAAACGGGGATAATAGGACGCACATCCAAGGGTTGCCATCAGGCTTAACTGATGCCTGGCCCATAGAAGTGCTCCATAAATAGCAGCCACTGTAATTATTATGAGTGCTATTATTATGAGTCCCTCTGGCTGCTGAAGAGTACTTCAGCTGTTTCCTTCCCTCCCAGAAGCACGAATGCGGGAACCACAGCCCCAAGAGGGGAAGTGATTTGTCCAAGATATCAGTGAGTCGGTGGACAAGTAGCCCGGAACCCAGATCCCCTCGCAAGCCCAGGCCTCCCCCGCACCGCGTACAGACCGGTCCCTACCGAGGCAGCCCCTAGATAGCCCCCCTGCACCCGCCCCGCCCCGGATTCCCCTGCCCGCCGGGGCCGCGCCCTCACCCTCAGGCTTGGCGTCGCCCTTCGCTTCGGCCAGGAGCAGCCAGCCCAACGGGGCGAGAAGCAGCAGGGGCCGCATAGCCAGGGTCTGGGGACGTCCAGCCCGCTCAGCGGCGCTCAAAGGCCGGAAACTTCGCGACGAGGCCAGCGGGTCCCCCTGCCACGCACTGGACCCGCCCTGGGGGCGGTGTCGCACCGCCCCTCTCCCCCTCCCTGCCGCCCTCCCCAGGGGGAAGGATTTTCCGGCAGACTGGCCCAAACAGAGGCTTCTCCAAGTGGAAGCAGCTCCCTCGGGCCTTTCCCCCGCAGCTCCCGGGTCCTTCCGCCGTTCCTCACTCCTCTCTCCCTTCTGGAAGAGGCTTCACTAAGACCAAGAAGGGGCAGGCAGGGGTGGGGGGAAGAGACAACATTTCTATAACCCAGAGCTCGCGCCAAGCCTCGATCGTATCAATAGCCATGAGCCTCAGTTTCCTAGCTTGAAAAGTGAGAATTATAATAGCACCTGTTCATTGGCTCTTGCACGGGTTAATGGCATTGTTACCTGTAGTGCACTTAGAACTGCCCCGTGACAAGCTCTCAGTAAGACTCAGCTCCTAGAATTTTATTAGTCCTTCCCTAAACCCATACGCGTGAGAGTCTGAGGCCTGAGTAGCGAGGGGTGGGTAGGAGTGTGTTGAGAGGCATCCACACCACTGCCAAGGCCCTCCTTGGCTGCTAGAAATGCAGAAAGTGCAGCACCCCCCAAAAAAAGGGGTGGGTGGGGGCGGGGAATCACTTAATCGGCTGTATGTCGCCAGGAGGCAAAGGGAACCTCTGAGCCACGGAAGGTCTTGCTCCTGAGGTCTCATTGATGAATGAGTGAATGAATGAATGAATGAATAAGAGAGAAAGAAGTTAAGAAAGAAATTGTTTAGGGTCTCTTCACAGGCTGATCTTCTCAAAGCCCAACAATCAACTCAAGGATCTCTAGAACAAGGGCTCCTGGAGCAGATGTCAGCTAGCGGCATCCATCTCTGGGGGAAGAAAAGAACCCTCCCTTCCTCTGAAGAGACCCTTAGATCCAGGGGCTTCTTTCCAGAGGATTATTAGGCTCCAGAGGAATGGGTGGTGGGTGCAACCCTGGTAGACAGGGGCTGCCCCCTCCCAGGGGAACAAAGGGTCAAGGAAGGAGGAATGTCATGAATGTCCTGAATGTCATAAGCAAGCCATGCGTAGGTGTTGAGAAAAGAAATCAACAGTACCTAAGACTGCTTCGGCAGAGAAAACATTCTCAGGATGGTGTTTAGTGGAAGAAGCCATATACACAGTATGACCCCACTCAGTAAAAATATATTCTTACAGATACAATGCATAGAGACAATGATAAACGATAATGACATCCAAATGTTTATAGTGATTATTTCTGGTTGTGGAGGGGGGGGAGAGGGGAGAAATATATATATGTTTGCCAGGTAAGTTTTTAGGATTTTTTTTTTATATAATGAGTATATACTATTTGCACAAACCAAACACCAACACATGTTATTTTTGGAAGACGGGTACAATTTCTGGGAACCTGGGAGATCGTCTCATGGTACAAAGATTTATTTATTGTACAGATGGTAGAAGTGAGGCCGAGAGGGATCCGGGGGCAAATCCAAGGTACAAGGCAAATAAAGAGAAGAAACACGAGTGCAATGCAGGGCCTCTACCACCCAACTGGGATCCAGGGCAGGGAGTTTCTGCAGCTGGGGACAGAAGTTGGTGCCAGAATCCACCGGATGTTTTTGAATTCAGGAGGAGACAGAATGAAATTCCAGACCCTTAGAGGAGGAAATGGGGGAGAATGAATATATGTCTCCGGCTCAATTCTCAAAGCTTTTTCATTCCATGTGCGCAACAGCCCTTCAAGTTAGGCAGTATTGCCCCATTTGTGAAATGAGGAAATGGGGGCTCAGAGAAGTGAAGCAACCTGCTCAAAGTCACACAGCTGATGTAGGACCACAGTAAGGGAGGCAGCTTTGGAAGCTGGCTCTAATTCCCCATTTGCTGGGACCCAGGGCGAACCTAAATGGTGATTTTCTGTGAACAGAAAAAATCCTTGGGCAGCGAGGTTCCCATGGCCCAAGTCTCCAGAGTCGTTGCAGATCAGGAGAGGGAAGGAATCTTGAAGGCTGCCGGCCTCCCCCAGAGAAAGTCACCCTGGCAATGCCTGCCCTCCACGCCTTTGGTATTTATATCCTGTTCCCTTCATTAGATTTTTAGAACTTGAACCTAGTCCAAGCTTCATCCAAAAGGGGAGCCTGTCTCTTTAAGAAGGGTGGCTGTTGCCCAGATGTTACTCCTTGTACGTGCTGCACGTGTTGTGCACTGTTAAAGGCGCAGGACCCCACTTTTCTGGGACGATGCAGAAAAGATAGCTGGCCTGGAGAGCAGTTGTTCAGTGCCACAGGGGCTTTTTTCACTTTCCTTCTCTTCTTTTATCCATGTCCTTTCTTGGCCCAGAGAAGAGCTATGGTCTCAGTGGATGGATAGCCACACTCTGTGCTGCCAAATGGGCTGTCAGGGCGCCCTCATCCCCCTCTCTCTTTACACCCATCAATTAGTCCCACTGGCACTTAGCCCCTTAATAATAATAATAGAAACAGAATTTCCAGGCTGTTCCCTTAAGTGAAAAAGTAAGATGCAAGTGCACATCATATGCTACAATGTCTGTAAAAGAAAAATAATATAGATGTATTGTATGTCTATATATCTGCAAACAAATAGAATATCTGAAAGAGTGTCCAAGGAACCAGTGGCAGCGATTGCATCTGGAGAGAGGAACAGATTGGCTGGGGCCCCAGGAGGGAGGCAGACTTGTCACTCTTCACCCTTTTGCACATTTTGAATTTTGTATTATGTACACATGTATCCTGTTTCCTAGTAAAAATAAATTAAATCATTATTTTAAGCCAGGCACTATGCTAAATGCTTCACGTGCTTGTCCAATTTAAGCCTTAAAGCAACCCTACTCTGTCTCATGATCACCATTTTATGGATAAACCGAGGCCCAGGGAAGTTAGCTGCCTTGCTAGCAAGGGAGAAGGCCACGATTCAAAACCCAGGCAGCCTGATGCTTTGTTGTGGCTATGTTGCTGACCCTTGGCTGTGAGACCCCTTTTCCTGGAGTGTGTGAGAGTGGTGAGGGAGTTAAGAGCACGAATAAAGAGTTTTCCCTTTGACTTAGGAATCTGTTTCTAGGAATTGCTCCCCCAGAAACATTCACACAAGTGGACCAAGATATATGCCTATAACATGGATGCTTACAGTATTAAAAAAATGAAGCGTGAGCGGCTGGCAGCCAGTGTGAGCTGCTGTGAGCTGCAGTGAGCGGCCATCCAAAGGCCGGCAACCGATCTGTCTCAGCCGGGAAGAGCGCAATGATCACAATACCAACATAGGCTAGTGAAGCAACATCCTCCACAACTAGACTGTAGAACAAAAGGACAGCAACTTGTCTGTTCCCCTTCCCTGATTCCCCAATAAAATCTTTAAAATAAAATGATATGGGTTACATTTACCAAGCAAGCACTTACCGTGTGTCATGCACCTTGCTTGCTTTACCTGCATTAAATTATTTATTCCTCAAAAAAATGAGATGGGGCTGGCCTAGTGGCTCAGTAGGTTAAGAGTGCGAGCTTTGAGCAACAGTGTCGCCGGTTTGATTCCTGCATGGGCCAGTGAGCTGAGCCCAAGCTGAGCTGTGGCTGAGCTGCCAGCAGGTGGCAGGATGGCTCAGCTGGTGAGAGCCCCGTGCTCCTAACAATAAGGTTTCTGGTTCAACTCCCACATGGGATTGTGGGCTGCGCCCACCCGCAACTAAAATTGAACACAACACCTTGAGCTGAGTGGCTCCAAGCTGCCGCCAGGTGGCCAGATGGCAACTGGACTTGGGAGCTGAGCTAGCTGCGCCCTCCACAACTAAGATTCAAGGACAAAAACTTGGCTGTTCCCCTTCCCCAATTCCCCAATAAAATCTTTAAAAAAAAAATGAGACACAGGATCATCCCCATTTCACAGGTGGTATCAAGTGTGGTCTGGTCCTTTGCTGTCACCTGTGCCTCCCAAGTACTTCCGCCTCCCTCAGGGGTTTGGGTGGATCCTGTCTCTTAACTGTAGGGCATGGATGGATCCCTGTGCATCCACAAACATATTCTTTGGAGTTTGTGAACTCCCAGTGGTAATTAAGAATTTTGTGTTTTGATAATAACCTTTAAAAAAAAAAAAAGGTAAGGATGCTGTTGGATCATTTACACAGGTACCTCTTCACAGGGCGCTGGCCTTCGAACTCGGCAAACAAATCTGTGTCTGCTCACAGACCACAAGAAGCCACCTCGAATGACCGTTCGGTTTTCAACAGCTGGGTCTGGCTTTGGAACGTCTTTAACCAAAATGAAAACAATCGCCCCATTGTCCGCCCAGGGCTCATATTGAATTTTTTTCCCCACAAACAAAGCAAAATTTCACTTTTGCATTGATTCACAATAAAGCATTTTCAAATTATGAGACTTTAGTGTCTCATGTTATTTAATAAGTTAAAACGCAGGGTTAATATGAGGATGACTTGGTGTGGTAGAGAAATTGACAGTCCTGGACCAAATTTGTGTCCCATATGCCACGCCCGTCTAGGAGAGCTGTCAACAAAACATTTCCTAAGAAGTCTAGCTTACAGTGGTTATTTTCTTTTTTCTTTTCGTCTTTCCTTTCTTTTTAAAATTTTCTGTAGTTTTTTTTTTGCAGTGAGGATCGTCATTTTTACAGAAAAAAAGTTTTGTCATTTTTAATCTTAGGGCTGTTGAATCCATCAGTAGCAAACGGGGCTCAACACGTGCTCTGGCTGGCTGGCTCAGGTGGTTTTTTATTACAAGTGAATTGGATGCTTCCAGTGGCCCCGAGACTTCTCTCCTCCCTTGGACGTCACACTGCAGACCCCGTGCACGCGGTCCAGCCCCCAGCGTGTCCCGTCCCTCCCTCGCTCTGGCTCCGTCTCCTTCTCTCTGGCCCGCCCTTCTCTTCTCCCAGCTCCCTCACCGTTTCCATATGTCGCAAA